CTGCGAAGCAAAGTGATAAATTGACTTCGCATGCTTTTGCATCTCGTTTGAACAACATTTTCACCTTACGAAAACTATTCGCTACGCAATTTTCCATAATATGCTTCAATGGCGAAAACAATGTGCATACATAGTTTGAACATGGCAGAAATTGAGTCAAGGCCAATCTAGTATCGAGAGAGCGAAAGAAATTCAATGAAGATAACATAAATTATTATCTACTGGAGGATTTACTCCATGGATTTATTTTTCAACATCAATTTTTGTTGTTGTTGTTGTTGTTGTTGTTACTTTTGCTGCTGCTGATGCTTTAAATTTGCGATTAATACTCCGTTTCTCAAGAACAACGTCGTTCTTTCGTTCGATGAAATAGTCAAGCTGCTTAAAATTCATGTCGCGCAACGCTATCGCACCGCTGCTAGTCTAATAACCACACAGTATTTCATACAAACTATATAAAATCCACGCCAATTCTAACCTTTGAATACAAATCGTCTCAGCAAATTCACTGCTGTCGTTCTCCAACCATTGCATACTTTCGACACTTTTGACTCAATACGCGCATAACTCTTCTGTTCTGTTTTACAAATGCAGAATAATGTTCAATTTACTGCGAATGGTATAATGCTTCCGGATAACAACTTGATTAGTGTTTCTATTACATTTTTGCAAGAAAAAACGAATCTTAAAGCAGAGTGTCACTCTAAGATGTGAACATTGTGGTGGAATGTGAGTATTTGAGATAAAAACAAAGAAGAATTTGTAGATATTAACATGGTAGTGTTTGCATAGTAAGCGTTTTTTATCACTTGCCATTCATTTTTTTTTTGTAAATATCAGCAAATCGTACATGCAAAACTATCGAGATGAAAGAAAACTCGACCGTTCGCAATCGGTTTGAATTTAAATCCACCGCTTCATGAACGCACCCTACCAAATCGCTGAATCGGGTGTTTGTCTCGTTCATGTTATTGTATTGCGATAGTGCCCATTCAATGCACTCATGTGACATTTCCACAAATGCCGATTTCCAAATGATTGGCATGACAAACAAGATTTATAAATTTCAATGTTGAATTTCTCCCTTCCATTTCCAGATATGCACGGAAAGTTCCGCTCATTTTATTCCAGAAAAATCGTCGAAATTCGATGCGGTTCGAATGTAAAACGCAATCTCCGTATTTGTACCGATAGTGCGCTTGTGTGTGCACTGTGCACGAAGGCAAACCGTCAACGCCACAGCTGTGTGTGTATATATATGGAAGGCAATCGTAAACAAAAATAAAGAGAGTGAAAAGAATTTTCGCCCAGAATAGAAGTGAAGAAGTGTTAGTAAAAGAACTGAACAAAAATTTCGTTCTCTGCATTCAATCAATCCAGAAATAAAAACCAATATTCCGCTAACGACGCAAGAAAAGTGCTTTATTACATTTTTGTTTGGTGGAAATAAAAAAAAAAGTAGAACGGTGAGTCTTAACATCGACACTATTCTTTTTATTTTCGTAATTAAAAGTGTTGTTGCACACGGATCGAATTTTTGTTTAACATTGGCACAAGGGCACGAAAATATCTGTTTTCGTCGAGTTCTTTATTTGTGTTCAAGCGTCGACCATATTGCTATTCCAATCGATGGGACATTCTCGAGTGGAGAAATTTTTTGTTTTCTTTGACTTATTCTTTAATTCCTTTCTCTTTGTAGACTTTGCCTCATTATTCAAATCGTCTCTCGCCCATTTTTATTTCTGTCAAGTGGCTTTCGATCGAAAATTGAGTATTTTTCCATATCAAAATCCACGAAAATTGGCAATTCATGAGTGGTCTCATCATTAAAATTCAAGAGCCTTATTTTCAATGATAAAAATATATATGAGCAGATTAATTCTTTGGCCTCTTAGATTGAGTTATCTTACGCAATTAGGCCGCGCGTTTGTTTTTTTTCATCTGTTCTGTTTTGATTTATTTTTCGTCTCATTTTTTTTTGTCGACACCATTTTCTAATGTTAGAAACGCGCGTGCATCGTTTGTGTCGACGTTGATTATTTTTTAACGTTATGTTGAAGTTGTGGTGTTCTAAATAGATCACCATATTTCCATATAGTTCGACGCCATTCGTGGCATATATTGTTTTTGAATGCTGTGTCAATATTATTACAGGAAAATAAACTATTGGAAAGAAATTAGAACGCGTGATTCTCATTGAAAATTATGCCCACAAGCCTCAAGGAACAATCACAAAAGCCCAGTAATTTGATTTAATCTTCGGAGCAAATTCAACAAAGTGTATGATGTAATCTTAGTAAATGAATTTCAAGTCGACCATTTTAAATTAAAACAAGAAGAAAAGAAACGAGTATAACAAAACAAAGTCGACATTCGAAAGAACATAAAGTTCTTTTTTGCCCGTCAGAACATTCACACGTACGCATACATTCGCATCCATCATTTTACATTTGCATTTATACGCACCGAGAAAAGTGAAGCAGCTGTGTGATAATTCTTTGTTTGTGGTCGCTATACGGTCGTGTATGTGCGAACGCGATAGAGAAAATATAGCATTTTATGGGTGCCAATACGAATCTATATAGTGTTTCGTTTATTTCTGTGATATGAGATTTCGAATTGAATCTTTGTTTTCGTTCGACCCGTTCGCCGTGGAAATTGCTCGAAAAAGAAACACCGATACGGTTTATCGTTTGTTTCGTATGCTTCTCTTTCTTCGCTTGTTCTTGGTGAACGTGTGCCACATACACACGCATACACAATAAACCGATCGAAAGGCAGATAGAGTTGATGAGAGCGAGAGAGAAAAAGAAACAAGCCGAACGGCAAAAACAAAACCACATCAGTCATGGCCGAACTTGTATAAATTGGTGCGCAATACGGCTGGCAAACACATATACTTCTAGTCTGTTAAACTGTGAAACTCGAAAGTGATCTAAAGCGAATTAGCTTTTTTTTTTATTAGAACAGCGACAATAAAAGTCTAAAATTTTGTAATTTATTCAAGCGAAAAGAGTTAAATCAATTTTAACTAACGAAATAATCAACATTTATCTTCTGCATTAAGGTGCGTTTCGCGTAAAAGCCGCATTTTTTCGAGTTAAATTTCATTTTTCTCTCACATAAGCCATACGCTCGCAATTTATTGCGCAGTTACAATTTTTTTTAACGTTTGTCCTAGAAAATCTACATTTGATACTAACATTTTTTTACTTATTTTCTTCTTCTCGTTTTTCGTGTGCAGGTTTTTCTAACAAAGAGCAATAATAATCAACATGTCATCAACAATTAACCCAGACGACTACATGTTCGACGAGATTTCATGCAGCCGAGGTGGCAAGAATCGTTCAAAGACCGAAGCTGCTCTCCATAGCAATAAGCATGATCCATGCGGCCACACACGGAAAATTGTCGAAAAATTACACAACTCCGAGAAGAACAAACGTGAATCAAAGAAGTAGACCACGTTCTCATCGTTGCATTTTATTTCTTCCCGTCACTCCATACCGCACTATTCGAATCCTGATCATGCCTACTCTCAACGGAACTTTGATAAAAAAAATAATAATATCTAAACCCGAGTGTTGACGTGAGAAACGCAAATCAGATAAAAAAAACGGTTTGAGTTTTTTCCTAATATCAACATCAACAAAAAAAAACAACAATAACTGTCGAATATCGATTGAAAACTGTGTGTTATTTTATAATAGCATTCGTATGATTTCATTTCATTTTGTATGCAATTAACATGGAAACATTTTCTAAGCAATAAGTTTAACTGAAGGAGTCCAAAAGTTTCTCATTTCTTGTTTTCGGTTAATTTAACTAGCGATTTTCATTTTCACAAGCAATTCTTGTCCAATTGCGAAATAGGAAATTTCGTTGTGTTCAATGTTTTTGCATTTTAAGTTTGAAAAAACTCCTAATGAGATATTATAATTTACTTTATGGTAAATTAAATAAAAAATGAGTACAAAAAAAAAATCTCCACAAAAAATCAAACAAAAGTTGTTTTTGTTCATCATCTCTTGGTTTGAGTCATCATTGTTTTCAGCTTTTTATTGGTAAACAAGATGGAAATTATGAAATAGATTGCCGGCAACTGGTAAACAAAATTGACGACTGAAAAGCTGATCAAATAAATGATGCATGCATGATAAGGTTTCTTTCATCGATGAGTCAGTTGAATTGCTTAAAGGTAAGTCGGTTTCATTTGAATATCAACGATAAACTGTTTTTGTTTCGCTTTTTCGAATGTCATTGGAAACGGCGGAAATAAAGGCACAATTGAATATTTCAATGTCTCAACTCATTAGCACTTGCTTTTGAATGTGACACCATAAACGTGTGTTTACTTCACATACTCTTGCGACTTACGGCCGATTCTTTAATCGGCCTCGACATTCCAACATTTTCTCTTCCCTTCGTAATAAAAGGTCGTCTTATCAGAATAAAATTTTCCTATCAACACGATCGGGAAAAGTAACAACGAAATGGCGAAATAGTTTCAATCAATCATCATATGTGTACTTTGTTGTATTTAGATTTGGTTTTTGATTCTTTTCTAACAAAGCAGACAAAAATTGGGTAAATAGTGTCGATAGTCGACACGGTCTTGCATAATCCGTGATATTAAAGCGATAATGTGACTTTGAAAACATGCCTTTGGTCACGACTACGATTTTAGTCCCCACATTGAACACGTTTCACGTTGGAAAAAAAGCAACGCAGCTAAAAAAAAGAAAGTGTAACTTGATTGCAGCTAATTACTGCCGAGAGACAAGTGTGGCGGAAATCTCTTTAATTCGAAGACAGTTTACTATGCAACCCGTCTGTTCATTTAATCACGTTGCAAATTTCGTGATAATATCAATTTTCTGATGCGATTAAAATTCAATAACAATAACAATAACAAATTGATTCCAAACAAATGTTTCGTTGAATTTTTATCTTTCGTCAAGCCACACTGTAGATGGTATTGCCAGTGTCTACTGTCATTCATATTGACTGACAGTTCGTTTGTGTTGATAAACTCACTGTAACACACAAAAACGCCGTGAAATTGTTTTTTTTCATTTTTTGTGAGAGAGTATTAACGAAAAACCATATGTTTTTCACTCGCAAAGTCCACGTAAATTCACAGAAACTGGAAAACATTTTGAATATAGCGTATTTATAACTGGGATTAGTATTTCGAAAGATTTGGGTAAGTGAATGCGAATGGTGTTGGCATATTGTACACGTTTCAATTTTACGTAACTCTGAACAAATGAAATAAATCCAAGATGTGACTCATTCCAGTCCCTATAAAAATAGAAATCAAATGTCGTGTTTCATCACTTGAATGTAATTCTGGTGATAGTGATTGTTTTTCGCTATCAAAATTCAGATGAATCGTTTTTTTTTCATTTTGACCGAAAATAAATCATTCATTTGGAATTATGTTTTCATAGTTCACTTTGATAAATTACTAATTCATAGACACATTTTTCCTCTACTTTTAGATATTGTGCGTCCATTTAGAAGTTCGAGGCTAAAGTGGACAGCTTTCTTTGCGTCATGTTCTCATCAATTACCATGTTCAACAATCGAAAGTGAATCGTGCAATTTTCATTCTATATACGTTTGATGAGGTCAATCGAAGAAACGAGACAAATAATGTGATGTGTTTGTAATTCATTTGGAATAATCAATTGTTCATTGAGCCTCAAATTCACATTGTAAGACTACATTCGAACAACAAGTTGATAAAATGGCATATTTATTGGTGTTTGGTATAATTGCCGCATTAACATTGGCCACGGCATCACTTTATCGATATGGAAATGTCCAGCGACAGCATCCCGTTGTAACATTGTCGGTGTTGACCGCCTGGTGTTTTTCCTTTTTGATTGTGTTTACAATTCCGCTTGATGTGACCTCGGTGAGTTTTAGATTGGAAGCGCCCATTTCGATGGAAAATTTAACCTTTTTGTCATTTTTAGTACTAAAGATTATAAAAAGATTACGAAAAATTGATTGAATAGTCTAAATTTAAAAAAAAACTGACAAAAACTATTTATTTCAATTCGATCAAAAATATCCTAACTTAAACTATTCCATCATTTCAGACAGTGTATCGGCAATGTATTCATGAGTACGATCCAGATAGTCAGCCAAAGATTGATGGCTCAAATGTGCCCAATACGACAACAACATGCCAGAAGCCATGGGGCATGGTTCCCGACGAAGTTTTTCCAAATTTATGGCGTATCATCTATTGGACGAGTCAATTCCTCACGTGGTTGGTGAGTTTAAGATTGACTAAGTCAACCAATTTTGGTAAAAATGTGACTTTTTTTGGCATATTTTGTACTGAAACAGTCTACGTATGAAAAAAAAAAAACCAACAAAAAATCAATTCATTTCAATTCAATCAAAAGTATCCAAACTAAAATTATTTCATCATTGCAGATAATGCCTCTGATGCAGTCTTACTTGAAAGCTGGTGATTTTACGATTAAGGGCAAACTCAAAGCGGCTGTAATCGATAATGCCATTTATTATGGATCATACCTATTCATTTGTGGTATTCTCCTGATCTACCTGGCTCTAAAGCCTGATGTTCATATCATGGAATGGCAGAAACTAAAAGCGATCGCTTCATCAGCATCAAATACATGGGGTCTATTTTTGCTTGTATTACTGCTAGGTAATCCAATTTTTTTTATTATTCCAATGAGCCTACTAATGATCTATTTTTTTTATTGCCCACCAATAGGTTACGCATTAGTCGAAGTACCTCGAAGTTTATGGGTACATTCAAAGCCGGGTGTAACATTGAAACAGGCCTATTTCAAATTGGCCAAGCTGAATATCGACAAAGCTGATGCCGAAGAGAATGTGGATGATGTTTTAGAATCATTGAATGCTGTGAGCCAGGTAACGCCATTGACGCATGAGTTACGGCCGTGCATCGATACAATTCTACGCAAAGTTCCAACGGAGCTAATGGAACGAGTGCGGCGCCATGGTCGCAACGATGGAGGACAATCGAATGCTGTGCCAACTGAAAAGTCATTAATCCGTTTACACAAACAAGTCATAAAATCGATTCAGACTTTCCAACGAACCGAAGCATTGTGGAATGTGCAGGTGGAGAAGGTGTTGCATTTGGAAGATGTCGAAAAGAATATGAGCTCAATGGATCGTCGATTCAGGCCCGAATTTCCGCAACAACAAACCAAATTGCAAGAGCTATTTTGTAATCCGACCATTGACTGGTATTGGCAGTGTCAATTGAAGCCGCCGTTCATGCGTGGAATGGCTGTAGTCTTAGGTGCACTATCGCTAATGGTGGTCTGGAGTGAACTGACCTTCTTCAATCGATCGCCAGTGCTGTCAATATTCGCAATAGTAGTCAATTTGGCGAAAAGCAGTCACGATTTCTTGACCATTGAACTCTTCTCAATGGTTGCACTGTGCTATCTCTGCTATTGTGCTTATTCAACTGTGTTTCGTATCAAATTCTTGAACTTATACTATTTGGCGCCTCATCATGCAACCAATGAGCATAGTTTAATCTTCAGTGGAATGCTTCTGTGTCGACTGACGCCGCCAATGTGCTTAAATTTCCTCGGTTTGATTCACATGGATTCACACATCATCAAAAAGCGAATATCCGAAACGTATTACACGCAAATCATGGGCCACATGGATGTGCTTGGTATCATTTCGGATGGGTTTAATATCTATTTCCCGATGGTGATGCTCGCTTTTTGCCTAGCCACATGGTACAGTTTGGGCAGTCGAGCACTGAACGCTCTCGGTTTTCAACAATTCATGCTGAATGAAATCGATCAGAATGAATCCATTTCGAATGAGTTCATTCAAGAAGGCAAGAGTTTAATTGGTCGTGAAAAACGACGTCGGCAACGTTCCGAAGAGAGTCGGGCGAGACGAAGGGGTCAACAGTTACCAGCTCGTGAGCTTTCAAGCTATCGCTCGAGTTCTGCGAGTAATCAAGGCAATGGCCGTGGTGGAAATGCGGGTGGTTTTGATACATCTCGTACATTCAATGATGGATTGCTCGGCGATGGCGATTCATATGATTACAATGCAACTAATCAACTCAGCCGAACATTTTCCGATGAAATCAATGAACGTTTTGGCGATAGTACGCAGATTAAAGTTGGTTTTAAGGGCTACAATGAATTGGATTCCGACAATGAGGACGGTGGTGGCCGACAGTGGAACACAAAAGGTGGCCCACCACGTGGTCTTTTTGACGATGTATAAATGGCTAGCTTTTAAGTGTAACATTTAATGTTTATTTTGAATTAAGTCATAGTTACGGTGCATTTTTGATAAGTCCTACTCATGATCCAATGAACGAGAAATGTTATAACATTCTTTTTCTATTTGGAATGATCTAGTCTCTTTTTGCACGTGGAAAGGATGCTTTATCAGCTGTAAATTTAAGTAAATATTGTGCGTATGAATGTGAATAGAGCACAAAATTTATGGGAATCAGGATGATTCATGCATATTCCGTGTCACATTATCTATTTTGGAACAAATGCATGTACGATAATATGACTAACAAGGATACATCACTATTGGTTACGGTCTTTGAGCGAAACCACGTATGCCATAGTTTAGGGCTTCGATAGACTAGCTCCACACCACTCTTCGTTTTGGCCCATATGAGCAATTATGTTTTGCTACATCGCTTTGAAGTTTTCCAATATAGCCATATATTTCGCATTTTGACAACCTTAATTTTGGTCCATACTCGTCCCCCATTGGTTATATCGTTTCAATATCTTCGGCAAAATTGTAGCTAAGAGTCCAATCAACAAAGTTTATCAACATTCTATACCTCAAAAATGGCATCTGACTAGACTTATAAGGCAAAATTTCGAAAAAAGGACGATTTTTCCCAATTTTTCGACCATAACTCGTAAAACATCCATTTTTTTGTTTTCTGTCTTCGGCATTATTGTAGCCAGCGTCAAACTAAACAACTCTCCTGAACACATTATCCCAAAAAAATCACATCAAGCCCACTTTTTTTGCTCAAAGTCACTTGTCGCTACCAAACGATATCATCGAGCATTTTTGGAGTTCTATAACTTCTCAACTACTCGAAATAGAGCAATAGTTTCTGAAGCAACTTTTTAGTACTTCTCATGGGCTTTGCAGACTCAGTACTAAAAGTACTAAAAGAGTACTAAAATGTACTAAAAACTACTAAATCCTTTCAATGGTTCTGGACACCTTCTGTAGGTGATGCTACGTAGTACTAAGGAGTAATAATATTAACAGAATTGAACTGTTACAGACCCTCATGAACGTTACTATTATTATATTGAAACGATATAACCAATGGGGGACGAGTATGGACCAAAATTAAAGTTGTCAAAATGCGAAATATATGGCTATATTGGAAAACTTCAAAGCGATGTAGCAAAAAATAATTGCTCATATGGGCCAAAACGAAGAGTGGTGTGGAGCTAGTCTATCGAAGCCCTAAACTATGGCATACGTGGTTTCGCTCAAAGACCGTAACCAATAGTGATGTATCCTTGTAAGTAAAAAAAAACAACTTTGTTCCATTAAATTTGATCTAATTTCTGATGGCAACCCCAAATGAATGCATTTTTTTGATTCCACTTTCCAAATATATTTTTATTTTGATTTGTGTTCATTTCTTTCAATGAATTATGCGGAATGTTAAGGTTACACCAAACCAACCATATCTACCATCACACACATACATTACAAAATTTATAGCCGCAAACAAAATACAATTTACAAAATAATGATGAAAGAATTCTGTTTATGGTGAAAATAGGTAATTTGTCTTTCGTTTTTTTTGTCTCTTCTCTTTCTCTTTCCCGTTTCTAGTTTATATAATGCATATACATAAGCTATATTGTAGAACATTTCTTGCCAAGATTTTAGACTGTTATCAGATCTAATAATAAAACTACGCAGTTTGCAAACAAAACAAAGGTCTCAAATCGTATTAAAAATAAATCTACTTTCTTGTTTCGAATTATTATTAGGCCAAAGCGATAAATGTGTCGATTATAACAATTTCGTTATTTAATTACGTGGAACGAATTTATTCCCAGAATATGGTAAGCAATTTCTATTGTTGTTCAACAATTCGATATTAATGTTTCGATATTAATTCGATATCCACAATTTAGAAAAACAAATACCACACACACACACACAACCAAACCAACAATTTTGGATATACCAACGTCATAATGGTGAAAAGAAAGCAATTTTGTTATTTTTCGGCGCAAAAGCGCAGAATTTCTAGAAATATCGCCTGCAACATTTGTCATTGCGGTCAATGACTTAGGTGATTGCGATCATCATCATCACTCGCAAATTTTATCTACCACCATTTTTGTTGGCGTTTCGTCTGAATCAAAACAAAAAGAAGACAGAAAACAAATTTAAAAGAATCAAAACATACTTAATGGATTTGTAGAATAAATGGGCGATAAACACATTTCTATCTATTCAATCAGGTTGTGTATGTATTGGAAATTACGATGATCATATTATCTTTTCTTTATAACAAACATTTTATTAGGGAGTCTGTTGGGAACACTTTAAATCACCTTAAGACGTTGTTTATTCTATTTATGGCGAAAATTCAGACGAATATTGTAAATTATACGACCAAAAAATGAAGAAGACAAACGAAATCGAGGGATTTTTTGTCGATGCAAGTCAGAATAGACTGGCATAATTTCTTTGTAGACTCGTACAACCTCATGACAATCTAAACATGAGTCGAAGCAAATCGTAGCACAGAAATTGTTCGGCAAATCTAAGAGTCTAAACGAATTAAACGAGTCAGCGAGCAACTGACATGTTAAAATTGAATGTACTCAATTTTAAATAGTTCGGTTCATTGATTCGCGAATCCATATGAAAGATTCGTGCGGCTGCTTATTTGTGACTCTGACTGACTCGCGTGACACATAAGCCCCCAGAACAAAATATTGCTGATTTTTGGATTTGTTTTTCCTTATCGCAAGAACAAAATGCTGATATCACTAATCAAACAAATTGTAATAAAAAAATGAATAATCTCATCCTGGATGCATTTCAAAGAATTTCAAATTTAGCATGAAGATAAGGCGTTTTTTTGTTTTAACATAAAAAAAAATTCTGATCTTCTTTGGCCGAACATTTGTACGTTGAACTTGAGGACTGGAGATAACACATGTCTGTATTTGCATTTAAAATATTTGTTTCAATTGGGTTCGAAAAAATGAAACAATAAAAGAATGGAAGAACAATTTGTTATCGTTAGTGTAAGAGAGATGGAAGCCGTAATTATTGTAATGAGTGTTGTTATGGGATTAGTCATAGCCTACCGATTTGGTGACGTCGTCGGGCATTTCACGGGAAAAAACAAAACAAAAGCAGGTAAGCAATATTGGTACATTGACCGTCTAATTGTTGCACATACACACATAGAGGTACTGTTTGTAGGTTTGTGTGGTCATTACTGTTTGTTGTTTCTTCTACGAAACCTACATATAGATAGCACAATTGAAGTTCAGGGAAACGATAAAAAGGGTGAACAGAAGAAAGTTCAAAGTTATACAACGAAGTACAACGTGTAATTGCTCACGCACATACATGCATGAACTTGAAGTTGTGCGGCCCATTTGCCGATTTCAGTTGACCCATAAACATGGCCGAAAAAACCATACTGCAATCAGAGTTTCGTCACGCGTTGAAGTGAGCAGTCAAACTCACTTACTTAGTGCTCAGTGTAGAAAGAAAAAACTGAAAAATTTATTTTCTTAAGAAAAAAAAGTGTTCATAGAAATAACAAAAAGTCAATCGATTCCAGTGGTATTCACTCTCTGGTGACATAATTCTCAATAGACTTTGAAACCAACGTAATTTGCGCAGGAATTCATTAAATGACGAAGGTAAGTGTTGAATCGGTTTGTTATGAAGACAATAAAAATAGCACAAAATGCGCAGAGTCCATTTTATGTGAAAACAACAGAAAAATGCCGATGATGAATCAGTTTTCTCGGTAAATTCCGACGAAAGTGCATATTTCCTTCGCGTTGCGCGCGCGAAAGAGAAAAACCCACATAGCGAGAACGGACTAATACACGCGAGTGCGCTCGCGCTCACGTCGTCACAAAAATCCGTCTGACGTTTTATTTGAACAGAAAAACGGGATCGGTCTTAGTTTGATCAGTCGACGTAGCGAACGATATCAATCATGCGGTCTTCAAAATACACAAACACATCGTCAATGCCTAACGACAGGCTCTCGCTTGTACGGCACTACGGCTTATTCACGAAAATTGTTTAATACAACACCACGCTTACTCAGCCACACTCTGTTTCGATCTCGCTCTCTCTCTCTCTCTCTGTGTGTGTGTGTGTATGTGCCGATATGCAAAGAGTATCAAGAGAGTATTGTATCGCCTGATTTGCTTATCTATTACAATATAAACTATACGACAGAAAATGTAAATGTGTACCGTACAACGCGCCGTCGAGTTGGTCGGAAGCGTGCACACACAGCACTCTAATTAGGTGTCTCCCAGTGAACGCACATTCAAACGCTAGGTCTCATTTTGTTTGCTGTTCTCTCTTTTTCATTCTCATTGACTGAGTTTGACTCAAGTGGATTTGTTTACTGAACGAAACAACAACAACAACGTTGACGACGACGACGGCGAAAAAAAGCGCGCAATCAGTGTACTCCATACATGTTCGTTCTTGTTCTCGGCTCGCAGTAGAATCGAGCAAATGTGTTGAAATTAAATTTAGTTTTCTCTGTCTCTCGCGATCACCATACGAATTGAAGTATTATTGAGAGTGTGAGTGCGTACTAACAGTTAAATTGGCTTCTTCTTCTTTATTTTGTGTGGTTTTTTTTCATTCGTGCTATAGCAGATGAGCGAGAGAGATTTGTTCGCTATACAACACAAAATTTAACATTCTTTGTTCTCAATTTTTCAGTCATTTTTCACCCGCAATCGAGACGATATCCCGCAATTTCAACATTACTGCTGAAAATTGTACAATCGGAAGCTACTGAATTTAACGGAAGGGAAAGATTTTTTTCGGATTTTTATTTTATTTGACGAAACACACTAAGCATTGAACAAACGTCAACCATCCATCGCACAAAGAAAGTGTATTTTTTTTTGGTTGAACAGAGTGACAAGACAACACGTGTGTGACAATTTAGTTAAATATATATTTTTTGGGGTTAAGAACAACAACGACAAATTTCCTGTGACAACAAGGAAAGACACAGATCAAACCGTCTGTGCAAACAGTTTTTTTTTTCTCCTCTTACTCATTTTTGACGAAGACAACAACGACGATAAAAGTGAAAAATAGAACGCGTGTGTTCCGTACATACACCGCCACAATTTTTGATACAAAAACAAAGTGAATTTAGAGATGCAAAATACTGGCCATATCAATGAATTTTCTGTTTTGAGTTTGTACATTGTTCAGTATCAGTTGAATGGACCAATTGTGAAAAATAACGGGAATCACACTAAATCATTTGCGTCTGAATCATTGAGTTGTTTAGCCGTGCTACGGACGCGTGTCGACTACTTTGTTAAATTAAAGACTTGATTACGTTGATATTGCTACTGGGTTTTCTACCAGCAACTTTTATCGCGCGCTCATTCGGAACTTAAATACGAAATAATTTCGTCAGCTCACGGCAATATTACACACGCGCACACGAAGGGCGAGAGAGAGAGAGAGAGAGTTTTGTGTGAGTCACAATACAGACGACGCGCTCAGCCAACTAAGGTGACGTCATTGGAATTATTGGAAACACAAGCTTAAGATTTTATCAAGATGTACTCAATTGACGGGTACAGAGCCTATACGGATCAATTGGTTCCTGCAATGTTTGAAAGCTGGCCTGACCCAGATACCAATTTCACTGTGAATGATTCATCATTTTATCGTAACGAAATGGAACGCAACAAATGCAATGTAAACGAAATTATTTACAAATCGAACGATTACAACGAAAAAAAGACGAAGCAACCACAGCAGAAGCAGAAACAGCAACATCAACCACACATTGGATATAATTTACCGGCGATGTCAAGCTATTTGTTCATCCCATATTTTGGTGCATTGCAACAGAATCCTGCATCATCAGCATCGTCCATTGTTTGGCATCAGCACCCGGAATCAGCTGCACATCGTATTTATCTATCAAGTGATGCAATGCCATTCATTCCAGCCAAATCCACACCCTGTAAGTATTTGCCTTTTTTTTTCTCTTGTCGTTTCTTTCGAAATCGTATGTGTCTCTCTTTATCAGTAGCTGTTTCCAGTTTATGCGATTACATAAAGGAAAGTCGAAAGTTCACGTTTATCATTCAAACGTTTCGTTCCAAAGTGACAATTCATTCAATCGATTTAATTAAGACGCAAATAGATTGCAACAAATTCTTGTGCATATGTGTTGTTGCCTATACTTCTAATCGTCATTCATTTTCTATTCCATCTGGTTTGTTGCAACACATACACACACACACATGCCAGTGAGCATGCACTCGAACAACTAGAAACGCTTATGAAAATGTCGTAATTTCCAATTGAAAATCATTTAAAAATCCACTTCGTGCCAATGTATAATGGAGAGAACTTGGCGCATGTACAATTATTTTCGTTATATATTTTTGTGCTTTTCGTACGTTTGCTAAACAGTTGATTGTGGTGTGTTGTTGTTTATTTACACGTCTTCACCTTGATAGATGCACAACACACGTGCATCAAAGCTGAACTTCAATTACGATATCACGCTGCACTTCTCTATTTGCCTGTTTATTTTTAGTATACGTTAGTTTCATTCGGGGCATATACGTATATTATTCATGTTAGAAAATAATAAACACCGTTTATCGATAGTTTTATTGTTTAAGCGCGATTGCGCGCGCTTCTTTCATCACATTTAAATGTATGTGACGGAATGAAGACAGTGGGCTAGAACATGAAAACGGTTGGCCACGCGCTGCTAGAATTGCAACTAGCGGAACATTTTAGAATTATTATCATTACGCAAACGTGTTTATCAAATGTCTATATCAAAGAGTTCAATGTTTAGCCGATTAGGCACAACACAAACCGAATCGAACGAAAGGAAAAAAAAGAAGAAGGAAAAAATAATAATACTAGTATCAAGTTCACACATCAACACAATAATCATTTAGGTCTATCGAAATCGATGGAATCTAGAAAATGTGTCTTTGGGTCAGTTTAAGCGATTTATTTTCGTGATATTTCATTTTTACTATCATCGTTTTGATATCAATGTTTGGCCATAAATCCAAAAGTTAACCCTCAATGCAAACAAGCGCGCACAATGTTTTTCATTGGTATCTACGACTAAATGGTGTGGTATTTGCGCGCGAAAAAAATACACAACTAGTTTCGTTTGCAACTATCACACTTTGTGTCTGCTGAAATTGAATGCGACGCAAAAACTACTGGAAAGACAATAATAATCGCTGACGTTTATTATCTCCTGAAAACAGCGCTGCCATGTGCATATGGTGGTACAACAAATGCATTTTTTGGCAGACAGACAACAAATATTTTGTTGTTGTCGTACTTTCGATCTTGAAAGGAAAACTCCGAAGAATGAGATCGCATGTTATAAATATGTATTTTTCTAACGAAAGGAACTTCACCGAGCGAAATTTTGTGTGAATCAATGTCGGTGAGCTGGGAGCAGAGTGTATTTATTTGAATGTGTCTCACACGGGCGATCATATTGTGAAGCTTGAAAAATGACGTATTCGCATCAAAGAAATTGGCTCGGAATTCAACTGCGCAGTTTGTGCTCACTCTCTCTTGCACCCGCCCGCTCCTGCCGCTGTCACCGTTGACGGCCGAATCGTAAAATTTGCATGCAAATTGCCTGTTTTTTTTTCTGTTGCAAACAGAATTGTTCTGATTCTCGGCCGCCGATCTCTATGAAATATATAAATACAAACATTGTGAGGAAATCAGACACATCTTCTTCTTCTTCTTCGTCGCTCTTGTTGCATGCGCTATTCGCATACCGAAGAAGAATTTTGCGTATAGTGCTGTGTATAATGGACACAAAGGAGTTGGTATGGGCAACCGTTTTATTGGTGTTATCGTCCACACAAGGAGCGTGTCATCAACCTTTTCGAGGTTTATAGAACATCAAATTTAAATTGCGCATTATTATCGTATGAAAGGTCGTAGTACCCGCTTCTCACTCTCAACTTTTTTCGGTTGGTTGATCGGTCGCATTGGTTTCATTTCGAAAAAATACAATTTATTTCGTCATTCTTTCGGCTCATTAGGTTGTCAAACGAGTTTAACGCGCTTTCTCATTAAAAACAATGGTTGTGCATAACATATGGAATCTGGTTACCGTTCAATTATCGTACATGAATCTACATTTCTTAGTCTAAATTATCTGCTCAACTTGAAGCAAGAAAAACTTGCACACAATTAATCGGTTCAAACGGAAGTGATAAGAAAGAGAAGCGAACAAAAGGTACAAATCGAACGATTTATCAATTCTTTGTGCATATTCCACACACTTTTAGTTGAAATGCTTGAAAGTCATTTTGTAAAATGATCGACACAGTCGAAAATGCGCGGCCTAATTGAGTGTTTCGAAAAGTTTTACACATTAATCGATAATTAATTGCATACGGCGTAATTGCCGCATTGAAATGCCCGCCCATGTTCGCACATCTCTTTTCTGTGTGTGTATTTTTTTGGGTAAGATTAAATTGAGAATTTGTTTGCAACACCGAAACAAAGCATTCGTCGCCATTTTCAAGTAAATAATCGTTGTAGTCGTCGTGGGGCACGTGGCAATGGTGCAGTCCAGTGGCATCGCCACTCATGGCACATAAGAAATCATAGCTGAGAAAATGAAATGCCAATCTATCTGACAGAAAGCAATAAAATTCAAGCTTAATATGGGCATTTTAACAGAAGAAAAACAAACAACTTTGTTTTTTCTCTCGTTTCTTCTCTTGGTTCGCATTTTTTTTTTGTGTGTATGCATCTGATAAACAATGTAGAATATAATTGCATGCAAATATCGTTTGGAGTGCGTTACAGTCAACACCTTTGGTGTGGCGTCATTGCAGTTGACGATCCGCAAAATAAATTTACTGTATTTATTGTCGGTTGCTGTGATGATCTTGAACTCCGTTCAATAAATAAAAGCCACATTATCATTGGCGTTTTTTTCGCACTCTCTCTCTCTCTCTCAATCTTTTTATTGTATGTTATTCAATACATTTTGCACGTCATTTACTTGTGTACCCACACGACATTTGCATCCATCCATTCATGATACCAACAATGTCGATCCTTGTGGAATTGGCATTAAGATAAACAACTACCATTTTCTGTTGGCTTTTGTCGGCTGTTTTGTTTACCTTACCAAAAAGCCATTGTACACGAACCAACAATTGATAAGGCTGGGTAAATATGATTTAAATGTTGCTCTTTCATCATTTCCACAGACGATGCAAATTGGGCTGAAATATAACAATTAATGGAAATCCCTATGCTGGCAATTTTTTTTTATCATTTAACGTCATATTAAAAAAAAAGTTTGCTAAACAATTCGTACATTGTTTATTTGTATAACAAACGACCGACGGTCGCGTTGGTAACAGCAAAGCAACAGCAACAAAAAAAAAATCTGCTTAGCAAATCAGAATTCGTAATTATGTTTATGTTCTGGCATTTGGGGCTTCATTTATTGAGATAATGTAAAACAATTGTTTTGCTGGAAATCATTTACAGCGAAAAGTGCTCACTTTTTAGTCGGCGCATCTAATTGATTAACGAGCGGTATGGTTCAAGCATGTTTCTTCTTTTTTCTTCATTCCTCTGAAGAACTCTCATCCACGCGGCACATGTGTGCGATGAAAGGGGGACCGCAGCGTGTACGCTCGCGAAACACACACAGAAAAGATCATTGACCGTCACATAATGCATCTGCTGTTGCGGTGTGCACATGTGGCGAAAAATCTATGCTATTTTTAGCACTGCATTCGTTACCATTTTCACGCAATTTTGCAGCCGCCACCCGCCACTTTCATTTTACACACTCAATTTCAGCAGAAAAAAAAAACAAATGCACATTTCATTCCATCCAAAATGCCATCCATTCTCCCATGAATCAACTGAATTCGAGTGACTAGCTAATAATTCACTTTCAGTTGCATCGCTTGAATTGTGATAATTTTTGTTTTGCAGCAAACAGATTTTTAACTAAGCCCACCGCAAAAGTGAGAGAGAGAGAGAGAGAAAAGCGTTAAATTCACGATGGAAATGTGAAAAATTTCTAAAATTGTTGAACCTTGAAAGAATCATTTCGCGCGCATCACATGCATGCCCACATGGCTTAAACGACGCTCACCGGGGCCGAAGTATATAACCATGCGGTCGTTTGGCCTTAAGTATTTTGTCTCTCTTTCATTGAGTACACGCGTGCATGCATACACACAAGCAAAAACGCGTTGCTACGCTAAAATATGGAACCAAAATTGTTGAATGAAATACAACAACAATTGAAAAGAAAAAAAAAGTATGCGATTAATAATCCGCATACTTTAGTTGCCAGTTGATATAGTAACGTTTGGATCCACGTTTTGCCGCCAATATCAAGTTTAACAAAAACACAGTGCCTCCGCCACCACCGCCGTCGACGACAACGCCGACGACTCACTTCAATCGGACTTCAATGCAGAAAGGTATCTATCCGCATGCCGTACGGCGTGCAGTTTGCGTGCCCATTAATTGTAACCGCGCTGGGTCTCCACGTTGATCGTACAACCGCATGCCGATACACACATTTTAAAACGATTAAGGAAAATAACAATAAAAAAAAATCGTATCTTTTGAAACTGTTGATAAGCGTAATCTCTAGGCAAATGCCTCTCTGATAAGCGGTATTAAATCATAAAATATCGAGTACAATATTTTTAAACAAATGAGCAAGAAAAAAAGGAACGTTGATTTTTTGTAGCAAAAAAAAAAAACAAGCACATGACAGCTGTGCCAATAAAGCATGGATACTATAATGTATTGCGAGGCAAAAAGAAAACGTTTTTACGAATGCGGTATTTTGATTGTGTGATGATGATGATGATGATGAGCTAACGTACATGCAAACACAGAGACTACGAACGAACGAGCGAACGGTCGGTCGAACGAGTCAAAGCCGACACGGTCTTTCCGTCGTATGACTGTATGGGATGCGTTCGAATGTGTATTTGGTGATTCATACAAGCTCAAAAAATGTGTAAATTACGTGGTGTTCGCCGCAAAGCGATGACTATGTCTCTCGCACGTTTTGTATATATGTTGACGGCGCATACGGCAAAACCATTTAGTAGACGTTCAAGATCGTAACGATTCAGACCTCCAAAAATAACAATATAAACTGCACTTTAATTCAAAAACCCGTATCGATATCCGAAACCGAATCACGAAATTCATTCAGCTTTTTGTGTGCATTTCGACATCGGCAAATACGAGAGAAAAAATAAGGGTAAAGTGGAGTGTGTAGTAAAAATATATCACAACCAAAGCCAAATTGTCGACGAACAGCAAGCAAGACAAACAGCCGAAAAATAAAGAAGAAGACAAGCTAACTAGCAATATAATCAAACGAGTAAAAAAAAAGGTTTAGAGAATGGAGAAACTGCATTGGGTGAGCCAAAGAAACGGTTTCGCATTAAATTCTGAAATTTTGGCACAAGGCCCGATGTTGCCACGTAAAAATTATAGTGTACCGATAACAAGTAATCTAAGAGACGGATTATCATTAGTTGGACAAAAAACGACGACCATAACGAAGAATTAAAACTTCAGGTGTGAATTCGATAAGTGCGATAGAGATAAAAACAAAAGCTTCAGTTCTACCGATAGTTTGTTTTAAAACTCACAACGAATTTTAATTGGTTCCTATACAAAGGAAAATAAAAAAAAATGAACTACTGTGATACCTACTTAAACGAGTCCTTTTCAACATTTCAAAATAGATAGAATAAAAGATTGTGCGTGTTGTGGTCTTGATGAAATCTAACGCGACTAGAATACGTTATTTATTTTTCTGATAAAAAAATTAGATCGTATTTGCTAATCGAGAAAAAAAAGAGTCAGCAGCACCATTTCAAGACAGTTGTTCAAATTGGACCCGTTCGAATTTTTGGTGAATCGAATTCAATCGACACGTTTTCATTCAACATTTTAGAGGAGAGAACACCTCAATTGAGACTCTTTTTTTTTCATTTCGTGGTATAATTCGTGCAATCGCGGTGAAAGTGTGCCATTGGCATAACGTCATTCAGTCCACATTGAACCGTTTTCGTTTCGAAGCATACATTTATACATACGATTTTTTTTTCTTCTTTCTTTCCGTATCTGTATTTTGTTGATTTTGCTGTTATTCTGCGGTTTGATTGTGAAATTATTTGTGAACAAGGGAGAAAACTTATACGTATGCAGAAAATAGTCTTTTATTTCTTCCTCTCGCCAAACTGAAATTCGTATCAAAGCCAAACGATAAAATTTCGTACGAAACGAATGAAGAAGAAACAAAATCGTACAGAAGCAGAAAATAGCAACGAGTGAATAATAATACCTACAGACAACAGCAACAACAACAGCAACAAAACAACCGTTGGTGAAATGAACATTAAGCCTGAGACACAGAAGAGAGAGAAAGAGAATATATCAAAGAAATAAATGAAATAAAATTAACAACGACGACCACAACGACGACAGCAGCAGCATACAATCTTGATCTATGACATAGCGGATTTGATGTACATATAACGGCATCCAAATAGTTCTTTTTCTTTATGCTTCCGCAGAAGAATCCAGTTTAAAAACAACAACAACAACAATACAACAGAACATAACCGACCATCGCATCGCATCATGCTTAATTTGTTCGTGTGAACGAATGTAGAAACGAAACAAAATACCAACGTGAAACGATACCAATTGGGTGAATGTGTGTATGTGAGAGAGTGTGTATCGGAACGAGGAAAAGCTTCACACACAAATTCCAATCTCGACCACATTTTAAAGAGAAAGAATTGCAAGAATTTTACAGTTAAAACATACACGAAAAGAGATAGACAAAGAGAATCGTGTAATAGTTCACTTTGATCGAAGAGTACTGTTTTTTAAATAGCTGCTTGCAATCACAGATCAAGGCGAAATCGGAGAGCATCGAAACAGCATCGCCGAGAACGACAACGACTACGACGAAAATAATGAAACGAAACGACTTTCAACTGTGTTAATTATATAATAAACTAATCGTATGACACTGGCCCGTTTTATGGAGAAAGACAGAGATAGTGCAACATCTGACAACAATAAATCGAATTTCACATCTCACGGATCAAATCGACGATTAGAAGAAGTGAAACAATCAACAAAAAATCAGTTCAAACTGTAGATTATTTTTGTAAAAACAAAATATTTTCCAATTATTACTCCTCGACAACCGACAACAACAAACAGTGTGAGTGTTTGCAGATTCGAAAATTTTGAAAAGTGAAATCACGTCGCGAAAAGAACTTTTGACAAAAATACCAACAGCAATCACGATAAAAAAAAATCAACAAAGCAAACAAATTTCCTATGTGATTTGAATTAACGCTAAACTCAAATTGGACCTTCAGTGTGAATCGATTTTTGCTTGCAATTTTCACATTCACGTGCAAATTGAATTTACGAGTGAAAATTAAGTCGAAAGGAAGCGAATTAGCGAATGCTCGAAACAACGATACAAATACAAACAATATTTGTTTTAAAGTTGAAAGAAAAACAAACCATATACACAATAATATTTAAAAGAAACAAACCAGAAGAAGGTCAACAATGACGACAACCATGTTTGATGAACTCAACTTCGGTTTGTGGCTGGGCGCATTTTTTGCCACATTCGGTTTCATTCGCATTTTAATTAGCTGCAAAATGTACATGGAAACGAGTAAGTATCTCGAATCACGAAGCGAATAATTGCAGAAAATTCATACATTTCTAGAGAAATTGGTCGATTTGGTTCGAAATAGAAATCAGGAAATGCTTAAGACTCGTTAAGCGATTTGAAACTTTTTGTTTTTCTTTCTTTTCGTTTTTGCATTCAATTTGAAGTGCGTTGGACGTGCGGCAATCGTCTATTAAATTTAAACATGACTCATATACGTTGTTTTAAAGCCGGCCTCCATTGTTCGATCTCACCCAACGTGTGGTGAAGAATCTATCTATATTGATACTATTTGCTAGAAAATGTGACAGACACATATCACTTTTATGTCCAAATACAATATTAAATTTATGTAAATACAATCTAAGCGAAACAAGATGTTTTCGAGTCGTACCACGACGTGACCTCTCTCGTGTTTCACATGGATTTTTTTCCACTTGGTTTATGTGTGTGTGTGTGTTCCTAATTTTGTGTGTGAATGTTGCAAATTTGGCTCCATTGTTCGAGACGAATGGATGAATAGATTGTATGCCGGTGCTCGACGGCACGTTGATTGCATGGCACACACACACACATCACACAGTTCGAGTAACAAATTTATCGATTTTCTGGTTCAGTGGCCAAAAGGCAGTCGCATCCATGGACGACTTTTGTATGTGATGTGCCGTTGCAATATATATATAGCGAGACCTGCTAGAGCACAACGCAACGTGCATATTTCAAGCGGCAGACATGTGACTAATAAACGTCTGTCTGTGGCATGTGACTGTGCGAACGCAAAACACAGGATAGACAGAGATCGACAGCAAAAGCAAGATAGAGAGCAGACCTTTATATTTTTGCACACGGTTCAAAGAACTCTTTTTGCTCACTCGGTTGAACTGCAAATAGAAATCGTTCATCGGCAGACTTTTCCAATCGTATGGAAACAGACATCAAACCGACGACGACGACGACGACACAACCAACTCGCTTCGCATTCAGTATCATTCTTAACTCTCGTTCAAACGTTTGTACCCGTTTTTCGAGCGTGCAACCGATCAAACGATATAATCATCGTTTCACATTATTATTCAGTTGTGTTTTCTTTCCATTTTTTTTTTGGTTTTAAATAATTCAACACCTGATATACTACTTATCTCAACATTGTTGTTTGGTGGTTTATAGATAAAAAAAACGGTGAATCCGTAAATTAATTTATTGCCGTTTTGTGTGTGACGTGAGACCGGTTTTTCTCCTTTCCTTTGCGTATTTTGGACTTTCATGAAATTTTGTTGTATTTTTAAAGTCTTTGTGTGCAGTGTTGTTGTGGTGCTTTATTTTCCCCCGACACAATTGTGTGCTGTGAGTGTGTTGATTCTCGATACAACCAAGTTAGTTCATCAAAGTCAGGTGAATATACTGCGTAATTGAATTTGTTGCGACACAATATTTGTTTCCTGCACTGTTGCTCGAGCCTACTTCGTTCTCATTACATACTGCAACCCAACTAATCGATTTCGTCAGAAATATTTTGTACTCTGAACACGAAAAAAAACCCCGAAAAATGAATTGTTCCAAAAGCCAGTTTTTCTCTTTTTTTTCACCAAAAAACAAAACCAGCTCTTGCGTGAGTTGCTCAATGTACAGAACAGCAAAAATACATACAAAAAAAATGATTTCGATGGGAATTTTTAGTGGAAAATTGCTATTTCTTTCGAGCCGAAAGCTTTTTTAAACGCCGTCATTTCGTTCGAAACACCATTGTTGACTTACGTTACGCAGCGCAGCACATTTTCTCCACAAGAATTTCCCGAACGTATTGATTTATTGAACCAGCCAATCGAGTAGACATCGATAGAACTTTTAAACACGTGTTTTTCTGTTTTTCTTTCATTTTCTCTCTCTTCCTCTCTCTCTCTTCTCGTAAATTCGCCGTTCCACTGCATGCCACATGGATGACATTGATTCACTTGTACAGTTTACACTCAATATGTGCTTATGTCTACTCAGTTCGAGGGAAGGCGTTGCAATCAATCCGCTTTTTTTTATTGATTCAACTAAAGTCTGTGCATATTTCGTTGGGTTAGTCTTCGGTCTATTTTTGGAATGTAGCAATAAAAAAAACTGAAAGAAGAATAACAAAAAAAAAACACGGAGTCAATGTAATCAAAAAGGCCAAATGAGGAGGAGTGAAAATTCGACAATGAATAGAAGCGAATGAAAGAAAAAAAATTAAATCATTTTCAAGTGATTTAATTGTGAGTCAGAACCAATGGGCCGATATACCCACATTCATCACAACCAATGTTGTAACTCGCAGCTGGCCGTGCTTGAATCATTTATGATGTGACTATGACTAACGGGACGAAACATTCCAACGTCTGAATCACTTTAATTTTGATGGTGAAGAATGTTCATCGAAACTTGTATTCAAAGTGTTTTGATTAAATCAATTCAATTTATTCTGTTTTCAAACGGAATTCTGAAACATCATCGGCGATAACCATCTGGGGAAAAAGTAGCACATGACACAAAGAAACAACGAAGGGATAAGAACACAAAGTAAAAGTGGTGGCGCATGCCGATTATCAACAATGGGCAACATCATATCAAAAGGTTTACAGATATACATACATAATTATTTACGTCAATTTTTAATTTCTCTGATGGATGACGTGTGTTTAGTTTCCCGTAGAATTGTTATCATTTTGATATGACAGCCATCATGTATTACAATTTTTACGTCACGAAGTCACGTTGTTACTAAATAGTACTACGAAATCCATTACCGAACACGAAATTTGTTGGAAACACCACGAATTATTTATATCAAAGCATGTCCATTGATTGTGATGTGGTTTTAATGATGGTTTCATGATATCATTTTCCGCCCAAAAAGGCACAACAACAATGGATTTTGTGTACAATTTTGGCAGGAACATTGCGATAAAACTAGGTATTTCTTATCTCACACGTTGAAATCGTCGTCACATTTAAATGTATGAGACACAGAAACAAACTCACTAGTTGTAATAATTTAAAATGAAGTGTTTCTTTTTTTTGTTCTGTCGTTGTGATGGTTGCATGTAAAATTTTCCATTCGACACTTTTTTTTTCGGAAATCTACTATCATCATATCACGCACCTTTGAATGATACATGCGATTAAAACTAGGCTGTGTGTCACAAGTAAATGCGCATTTGGGAGATAGCTTTGCTTTTAATTGTACGGCAGGCAAATTGATAGGATTATCGGCCCGCTTATTTGTCGCTTCCTACTTGTGTGCGCTTCGAATTGGATCGGTTGGTTGTACAATAAGGAAAAATAAATTGAGTGTACGGTCACAACGAATCTACAAAGATGTTGTTATCTGTGGATCGTTAACGTAGTGTGGATTTATGTTCAAAAAAAAAAATGATACGAATGCGTTCTATCTTTGCTCGTAGACTTTTATTTTCGTACACTTTTTTCTTGTTGTTATTCAGCCGATGTTGTCTTCTTTATAAATTTTATTTACAGTTGGCTTTATTTATTAACAATGTTATGATTTACATGTTTTGCACATGTTGTCGTCGTCAAGTACATGCGACGCATGGTTTTTCGCTATGGTTTGCTTTTTTCCATGCGCGTGCAGATGTAATCTAGTAAGCAACTAAATCCAAAGTAGATATTATTATTTTTGTTCGTTCATTCCCAGAAATGACGTGAAATTTATGCGACAAATTGAAAGAAGAAGATAACATGCGAACACTTGAAAAAAAAATCACACCAATGTTGCTTTAAAAAGAGGCAAGGCACAACTTAAAACAGTTCAAATATTGTCTACGAGTTGTTTGTATCACTTTCCTCATGATTATACTTGTGCCATTTTTGCGCCCGCCTTTCATTGACTGTTCGAGCTGAATAAGCGTTATGCGCGCTCTCTCTCTTTCTCACTCTCTCGGTGTGTATTTGTTGTCAAGCGCCTTTAGTTACATTGAATTCGAGTCTCTTGCCATCCAGCAATTACATTGCAAAGTCATATCCAGCTAATTTTATAGTAGGTCAAGCAAAGAGTCAACCATTAAACATTGTCGCAAAATCATACACACACACACACATTGTTGTGGCTCCAATCGAAATAACCATCATCACCACCATTGGTTGTAAGTTTCATTTCTCTCTCTTTCTCTCTCTCTGTTGTTGTTGTGAGTGTTTTCTCTCTCTCTGCGTGTAGCACCACTTAATAATTCTCATTTGTCTTCGCAGCGCGCATAGCAATCAATTTATGAATTCACGAGCGCACGTAATATTTATTTTATTTATTCTCGTTTATGATTAGAAATTAAATTCATATAATTCGTATTGTTTCGCTAACCGCATTAATTGCTGAGTAATAAGGCAATCGTCATCGTATCTGTCTCTTGCTCTCTTTTGATTTCCTCATAGCAATCACGACTGAACATCTCTCTATCGTTTTCGGAACATTATGTGTGTGTATGTGTGTGTATGTGCGCTAGTAGATCATGTGCACTGTAATGGCCTCGGTGTGGATAGCGCTAAATTATAACAACCAAGCGAAAAACTTCCGCAATCATCGTATTCAAGTTGATATCAACACAAAAACATACACGGACATACAGACACACTCGATAAACAAAACAATAAGAACTTAGAATGGTTCTTTGCTTAACAAGTAAACAAGAAGAAGTGAACAATAAAAAACAATAAACAAACCACAAACATTTCGCATTCATTTCACGTTACCTGAAACCAAAGCTTTGTTCTGCAATTTTTTTTTCATGCGGAAATCGCCAATTGAATTTTATACCCACATATTTATATGTGCGGAGGCTTAAAAAAAACATTCGTGTATCGAATGGAATATAATCAATGAAGGAATTTTTTTAAATGGAAATATCATCATTTATTTATTTTTTTTTTCGTTTTACTTTAAAATGTGTGTATGTTGTTGTTGTTTTTCCCCTTCGATTCGCGCATAATCCAAATACAAGCTGAGCCAAATCCGTGGAGTTCAATCCACTCATCCGGATTCTCGTCATTTTCACTTTTATTTCGCGCGCGCCTCTTTTCACGCGCCTGCGAACAAAAACAAAAACCGAAAATGTGCTTAACAAAGCGCATCATAAGTAATTGTTAATTACAATTTTTTTTTCTCTCTCTCTCTGTTTTGTTTCTGTTTTACTTCGACAAGGTTATCATCGCGTCGATTTTTGCACAGACATTCTCTGCTGCTTGCTTGCTTACCCGCTTATTCTGTATGCTCATCGCAGATCTCTGCGTTTATGAAACTGAAAAAGAGCAAACATTGTAGGCGAACAAACATGGATTGACTGTAATTGTTTGCAGATAAGAAAATTGTGACGATCTCGTTCGCAATATAGGTATATTATGCGTGTATCAGTGTTCCGAGTCATATTCCAACAAATGAGCCAATCCATTTTCCACTTCATTTTCGAAATCAACCGAACAAAAAATAAATAATTAACATCACATCAACGCGCGCACGTATTCAGAAGTGACGATCAGCGTGCGTTTTTCTCTATCGCCATTTTTTTTATATGGCCCACTATTGCAACTGCTCTGTTCACTGATCATCGCTTCATCATGAGCGTATTGTGTGTTTGTCTGCTTGCGATTTTTGTGCTGACAACAGTTGAAACGAGTGATTTTTTTGGCAATTCTGCCTTTGTTTCTATCTCTTTATTTTTTATTTTCAATGACGATGACGATATTTTTTACGCTCGTTCGCAATCAAAAATTTCAAACAGTATGACCGTACTTTGATAATGTCAACCAACGTCATAAAGTATTTAAAGAAAAAAACAATTGCGTCTCTAGAGAGAAAAAAAAACACACAAAAGACCAGCCTCGTAATTTTATTCTTCTTCTTCATTATTTTGTCGAGATAACATCATGGCGACTTTCCGCAATCTTACAAACAAATTTAAATGGTCTTTATCGTGTCGTGGTGTCGTCCGGAGGCGCCAGGCTGAATCACATTTCGTTAAATATAGTACTGTGTTCATTTTTTGAGTCGAAAATCGCATAAAATTCATAAATTGGAAGGACAAGGTCATAATTTTTTCGGATGAATTTAACGTAATTTTTTGTCTTCGTTTTCGTCACACGGAATATCGAAACTACTTACGTGATTTCATTTATTGCGCGATCCAGATACTTAGAGATGAAGACAGCGGTGTCAGCGGTGGCGACTGCAATGATGGTGGTTGTGATTGTGGCCAGTAGCCAACCCACATTCGCATCACTACAAAAATATGATGAATAACGACGGCAATTTTTTATGTTTTGCTTGGTTGCATAAAGAGTATTCGTGTGCCTCAATCAGATTTCAAATCGACAAAACGCTGCTTGAAATATTCATTCGGCCGGCTTTTGCACGTCCATTATATCACTTATATACACTACTATGTATGCGAGTTTTTTTTTTGGTTCGTTGCTGTTGCTCCTACCGCGCTGCTTGCCGAAAAATTAAACGCCATGATGTAGGATTTTTTTCTCTTCTCTTCTATCGCTTCACTCTGCTCTGTAGCAACAGCAGCAGTCGCAAGCGTTACGTTTGATTTCAATCCATTAGATGTAATTTAAGTTTCGCAGATGATGTTTGAACATGCGGTTTCACACACAGCATGTACTAGTGTGCTTGCATTTCTAGTCCCTTGCTCAATTCACTCATATTTTTTTCTCTTCTTTTGAATAAGTGAGTAAGTATAGTGAAGTCTGGCTGGTCTTGGTTGAACCGCGTGTCGTAACATCTAATTGGTAATTTTTATTCTCTATTTTATACTCTTTTTTTTCGTCTGGCTACGCCACCAAAAGTGGCTCTTGCCCCGTGACTAGCCCGAGACATATACAATGTAATAAGAGAGTACAGAGAAAAAAACCGAGTTTGCGAAACATCCAACAACGAAATAAAAAAGATTGTTCAAACACCAATTTATTTTGCATAAATGAAATTCTCATTTGAATAACATAACATTCTTCGCAACCAAAAGAAACCAATGATTGAACGAATGAACGAAGAAGAAAAAAAAACCCTTTGCAATTCAACGATGATGATAGAGCGATCTTCTAAAATCACGTTGAATACATCCGTTGGAAGCAGAAAAAGAAGCACAGTATAACAACCACAAACTTCCGTGCCAAGAAACTAAATTTATACGAACTTTGCAATTTGCAAGAACAAACAAGAGACAGACACAGATAGAGTGTGAGAGAGACATAGATAGAGTAATTTACGTAGACGAATCGATGCCTACACATTCACAACAACAACAAAAAACCGCAACTAATGTGTATTCTTCTGTTCAATTTTCAGATCTAATGGATGATAGGGCAGCAGAGGTGTTAGCGCATTTTACGACAGCAAAATCCGCTAAAGCCGTATCTACATCTACATCATCATCATCATCATCATCATCTCCACAGAGATCGACGACCACTCACAATAAATCACCACGTAAGAAACACTCGGTAACCCCCAACAAATGGTCCAAACAAAACGGACGTGACGAGTTTTCTAGCAACGAAGATCTAGCCACATGTTCTGGAGGTAAATACAAACAAACGAAATAGAAAATAATTACCAGATTCTCTAATTAACTTGTTTTAAAAATGAAGTTGAAAAACTTGCGAGCGCTGTATTTCCATAATATCATCACACTTGGATCTAACTATAAATAACGTCTTGCTAATACAATCGAGAGAAAAAATTTTTTACATCTTAAAGATATGATTTGCAGCGCAAAATGTTTATTATTCAAGTGAAATGATTGTCGAAGGCGAACAAAGAACAGAATGAGCATGAAATTACAGCAAAATGAAACATTTGACACAAACATTTGTTTTTATTAACATACCAGTCACAATGATACGATGTCATCTAAAAGATTATTTGGATTCTATTTTCAAAAGTACTCGAAGCAAAAACAAAATTAGCCAAGTCGAAATGAGAAAAAAAAAATGAAAAAAGAAACAAGTCCGTAGTGAGAGCGAGAACAAACAGAACGCGCGTCACATAAAAAATATTTATTTCATCCTAAAAATAACGAATTGCCTTTTGGTTTTACCGCTGTATTTTTAAGTGCACACAGCGATAGTGAGAGCGTGCAATTCACTCGTGCCATTTGCTAATGAATGAAATTATATACAATAGTTTATATGAGCTTATGACAGCAATTACAGTCAATTGACTAATGTGACATTCGAATTTTTATGTAATATTTGACGACGACTACAACGAAGATGATCGAACGTTTATATATTTATACCGTTTTTTTTATCGATTCGAAACGAAACTAAAAACCAATATTTTGCTTTCGGCAACACAACACCAACAAAAACAACAACAAACATAAAAACCAACCATTGGATAAGACATAATAAAAAACTCTCATAAAAGGAACATGGAACACACTTATAATTACTTTGCAATTTTATCACTAGTTCAGCTTTCGAAACCCCAAAATAATAGAGTCGTTCAGGCGACCCAAATCGTTTTACGTGCACGTAATTCATCAATTCGATAAGAAAACAATGACTAGTTTTATTTATAGACTTTATTACTATTTCGAATCTAAGACAAACACTTTTTGAATTTCTACAATAATTTCAATTGGCGTTCTCTTTTGTTTCATTTTTTTCCCTCTGCAATCTATAGATGTGGCTAATGTACCGAACTACGATGAAGACCCCGGAGTTGTGGATGATGTGAACACAAGTGAAAGTGAAAGTTCGCCGAAAATTCGGCGCAAGCACAAAAAGAAGTCAACGCCACGGCAACGTGGAGCATGCAAAAAAATTGCAACCACCGATGGCAATGAAGAAAACAAAGAAAACAATTGCCTGTCATCCAATCCACAAAAGTTAGATGGTCAAGATGGTGGTGCAACGAAGCAAATATTTGCCGCTGATCGTTTCATGACCGAATTCAATCGTTGCCGAGCCATAACACCGCCACTCCGTGAACACATCAAACTCAATTTGCCGGAAGATAAATTGATTCAATTTTTGAAGCATTACCTATTGAACAGCAACGATTTGAAAGCACAGGGCTATCCGTATCGATATGGAACGAAGGCTGGTTTCTTCAAGAAGCGTTTCAGTGCCAGCGTTGACTATTGTGTGCCACCAGTATCAATCATCACATCATTTGATGTGAATGCCCGGGAATTTGTGCCGAGCCACAAGCGTCGCAGTTGTGAACGGAAATCGTCGTGTGATAGCGGTCAAGCGACTGGTTCCAGCTCATCATCATCATCATCGTCGTTGTCGTCGTCGTCGTCATCACCATCGACCGATAGCGATTCGAGTGATAATGCCGGCGAATTGAGGTACATCGAACGCACCGAAAAGAAGTGTATCCGATGCACACGTGAATTCCATGTGACGGAGCACGGTGAATATTTGAAAATGGAAACGTGCACATATCATTGGGGCAAATTGGAACGATCGAGCATTTCATATTCAATGGGCGGCACATACACATGCTGCAATTCACCGAAATTCACCAAGGGATGCACAACCATCGATGGACATGTATGGAATGGCTATGAAATGGGCTTCAATGGGCCACTCGATGGCTTTGTTCGAACGGAAGATAGCGATAAAATCGATAACGAACTTAATGTATTCGCACTCGACTGTGAAATGTGTTATACGGGAAAAGGTCTTGAAGTTACCAAGGTAACATTGGTTAGTTCTGATGGGCAAAAATTGTATGAGAAATTCGTTCGACCCGCAACCAAAATAATCGATTACAATACTCGCTTTTCGGGCATAACGAAAAAAGATTTGGCCACAAAAAACAATCTGGTGGCCACATTGCCTGAAGTTCAACAAGATTTATTGCATTTTATCAATGCCGATACCATTCTGATCGGCCATGCACTTGAAAATGATCTCAGAGTATTGAAAATTATTCACGATAATGTCATCGATACGTCCGTGTGTTTTCCGCATGAAAATGGGCCAGGTTATAAGCATTCATTGCGTTTTCTAACATCCAAATATTTGAACCGTTCCATTCAAGATTCGGACCAGGGTCACAGCAGTTTCGAAGACAGCCGAGCCTGTCTCGAGCTCATGCTGTGGCGCGTTCGAAAAGATTTCCGAGCGGTATTAGAGCAATGACTTGAGTATAAATAGTGATGAACATTTTTTTTTGTTCTTTTTTTTTTAAACAATAGGGCTTAACTAGGGATTCTTTTTTTTTTAATTTATTTTATTTGATACATAAACAACGAATGCGCTGTGATTTTTGACTGTATATAACTTTTTTAAACATGAATTTTATCAAAAGAGAGAGAAAGAGAGATACACCTTTTTTTTTAATGATAAAACATACAATATTCACACATTTTGTGGTTTGTTTTTTTACGAAACATGCTTTTAACTTTTGAAATTGAAAGAACCAGAGAGACGCAATGCCGTGTGCTCTGTGAGCAGCTAAGCCTATTTTTTTTTCTCTATTGAATGAATAATAACCGAAATGTGAAAAATGCTCGAATATCCGCATAATGAATATAAATCTCATTTTTAATGATCTGAATAGTAATTTCAATTTTTTTTTTCGTTTTGCTTTAAATTTCATATTTGCTTTTAGTTGATTTGTGAGTGTGTATGTTTTATTAGGTTTTGTTTTTTGCTTACTATTTTCACCTCATTCGTCGTTTATCTCTTTAATTTCATCGCTCCTTTCACTAGTTTTATACTGAAAGCTGAATACTGTAAACAAAGCTGGCACATTGTCAACGTAGCGTAATTATTTTACCCATCAAGTAAAAGAAAGAAACGAAAACGAAAAAGAAAAAGAAACAACGAACGTGTTCGTGAACGGGGAAAAGAGATCATTTTCTTTAACCACGACGAATAAAACACACACATACATTCGATGAAAAAAAAACATAACAACACAGCATGCGATTATTTTGAATATTGCAAACGACCAACGTTCTCATACTTTGTACTTAACAACTCAATTCTTTATTATTATTTTTTTCCTGTTCATTTTTTCTGTATAAATTGTGACAAACATTCCTAAACGATTGCATCGATTCAGAGAGGAGAGAAAAAAAGCAAAAAAATAGTAATTTTTTGTCTTTTTTTCTATTCATTTGGAAAATATCGTTGTTTTTCGTGCACAGTCGGTGTGATTTTACATTAATTGCAAATAGGAATAGATTTACCGAAAACCATTTTAGAAGATTGTTAAGAGGATAAAAATGAAGGAAATATACATATATCTTTAAACAGATACTATTTTAAATTATAAGCCGTTTTCTTTTTGAAACACATTGGAAACACAGTTTTTGTAATAGACTTGAGAAAAAGAAAAAAAAATGATACTAAATTGAAACATTTTGCTTTACTTTCACTGAAATAAACAAACAAAAAATAAGAATAACCAACAGCTGTACCTTTATGCGGTGCACACAATTGAGTCCATTTGTGTTTGAATCAATGTGAAAGATTGCAAATGGTGTTTCTGTTTTAATTGTTGTTCTAAAATAAACATCGTGTTGCAAAAATCATTCAAAATAGATCGATTAAGTGTTTTTTTCTTTCTATCTGTTGTTTTGATGGCAACAATCGAATCATATAATTCAATTTGGAAACAAAGGCACCTAAGATATTATTATAAATGTTTTTTAATGTGAGAAAGGCTTTTTTGAACGAATTAATGAACGAACGAACGAGAAACACAAAAATAAATAAACATAGAAACGTTCAATTTTATGTTCAATTTTAATTTCATAAAAATAAATACACACAAAAGAAGCAAAAAAGCAACAACAAAAAACGATTATTCATAATAAAAAAGCAATCATTTAATAAAAAAAAAAGTCATTTGTGTTTCTTTCTTTCATTTTTTTCTGTTTATTTATTTGTACTTGTTGTATTGAATGCAATTTTCAGCGCAAAGAGACTGGCAGACACGCTTCGCTAATGCCATTCGCTATGATTACTGCGCGATACAAACATGTATCGAAATGATATATCGCGCCGAGCACAGGCAAGTAATGAAAATACTTTCTTTCTTACGACATGCGATTCGTTTGCAAGGGCTTACATTTGACATCTCACACAGACACACACACACACACACACACAGAGAGAGAGCGCTTTTTCGCTTTTTTGTCGCTGCGCCGACGAAAGCGATTCATGAATTCACGATCAAGATTGAAATATCATATCGGCCGACCAACCGACAGCATATGTATACGCTTTCGATAGGAAGTCATGAGTAAGGTGAATTAGTGCGTCATAGACACAATGTCAATTAAAAGAGGAAATTGTCTGAAATCCTAGCATTTCTCGTTACATAAACGATTATATATATATGTAAAGCTATGCCAGAAAAAAAATATGATCGATTGTCGACGCTCTCTGTTCATTTTCATTTCATGTGTACTTTTAGTTTTCGTTTTGGTTTTTTTTCGGTTTCGTGAACGATGTTGTTGAGGAATGAACCAAGTTTTAATTCCACATTGAATTATTCATTGTACCACGTAGGCTTTCAATCAATAATAATGATAGACAAGCTCATTAGATTTATATATGTTCGATTACTTTTCGTTCAACATTACTGCATCACCAATGGAACGGTAGGTACATATATTTTAGTCTCCATTTCTCCGAATTCGGAATTGTTTATGTGGGAATTATGAGCTCTCCAGCTCGTGCTCAACAATGATGACGAATTTTACCTTTCGTTTTTTTTTTGTCTTTGTTATCAATATGATTGGAGTATAAAATAAAATTGATTGCTCGACGATGATAACGATAGAGCAAAGTGTACATGCATTTTTATCGGTGGCCAACGCCTTTCCGCCACAATGTCATATGCTTTTTTATTATCATTTTACCACAGCCACCTCCACCACTATCCTCGCTGTCGCTATCGTTTGACACATAAAATTTGTGAACAGCAACTATGGCTTATTATATTTATAAATATCGAACCATTTTCATTGCTAGCCTTGAAAAAAAAAACACACGTAACACAAAGAAAACACAATTAACATGCTATCTGATCCAAACAGTACATGCCATCGCATTATATTCTTTCCATTATTAATCTATCGACCGGTCATTATAGGAAATTTCTATGTTCAAACAAATAATAAGGCAATCATTCGGACACATTCCGTTAAATTGTCCGAGTTGTTTGTTTATAATGCTTATGATGTGGTTTATCACTAGACACAGAACCACAAACGATTTTCCGTGGCTTAATCTAGCGGGAAAAGTAGAACAAATGAAGCATGAATTCATGCCATGACAACAAACCAAAATTACTGGGAATAATTTGTTTCTTTTAGCTCGAATACCGCGATGCTTATTTTTATCACAAAAATATGTCCCAAATTCCAAATGTTTGACCAAATTTTGTACACAACTACCTCGAAACATAACTCGTTTAAAATTCTCTGAACTTTTGAACCACACAAAACGTGCTTGATATTCACAAGCACGCTCGTGCCCGTAATCACGAACGAAATTTCCTAAGAAAAAGAAACCGAAATGACAAACGTTATAAATTCTCACAAGTGCCAATTTTCGCATTTCACTTCAAATATTACGGTTTATTTTATTCGCACAATCGTTGTTTGCATTTCATTAATTGTTTCAATTGTTTCTGGAGTCTGTATTTCTGTCATTTCTTCAACTCAACGACCCAGATATGATACATTGTCACCGATACGCTTTACAGATAAACACTTTCTATATAATAACAGAAATAAAAGTAAAACAAACCGTAATTTGTGTACGTTTTCTTTCTCATGTGGACAAAGTGAAACCAAACTGGTCCACATGGTTTTTGTGCGATATGGAAATGTATATCAATTATAATGACACATTCGTAGGCATCAAATCCATATATACATTATCAAGCGATAAAGAAACTTTGAGCAAATTTAACGAGAATAGAAAGAAAACAAGTCCGCAGAGCTTCGCTTTGCTCCGCTCTGCGTTCTTGAGTTTTTAGCTATTTAATCTATTTTGTTGTTTCACAACAAACTAATTTTTGGCGCACTACATGAAATGTATTTCATCAAAGTAGCTTTGAAGTAATATATTTATTTGCAAAATGAATTACAAGATCTTGGTTTTATTTCTTTTTTGAAATATACTGCCTTTGGTTTAAATTAAATAAATAATATGAGCATCGAATCTAAAATCACTTTAATTCTGTTCAAGACTCAGAAAAATACTATACGAAAAATTAATGTAATTTTTAAAAAAACATTTGATGATAAAAATTTGATTGACGCTTTGAGATGTTGTGCACTTATTTGTCGTTAGTGCTCTTGTTTTAAATTAAATAAAAAATATGAGCATAAAATTCAAATTCACCATAATTTGTTTCATCACTCAAAAAGTATCTAGAAAAAAAAAGCAGATTAGTAGCTCTACATTTCATGTAGTGCTAAAAATAGTACACAGAAGAATGAACAAAGTTCTATTTTTACAATTGCCGTACTTTCATTGTTTTCGATGAATTTAACGGAGGCAAATCGTTTCGTCACAAAGCATTGAGTTCAATGATTCTTTTTAAAATCCCACTCAAACGTTGTTATTAATGCAAAAACCTACCGTTAACGCTTTATTTTTCTTTTCGTCGATTTCTTATATTTTCATTCACTTTCTGATAAGCGGTCGATAGCAACGAAGTTGATTTCTATGTGTGAAAAAAAAACTTACAGTGAGGAATTCGACAGACTTTTTTTCTAAAATCACGTTAGAATTTTTTTTACTCTTGGAAACAGTTCTGAGTACTAGAAGAGAATTTCATAGAAAAGATTGGAAGAAAAAAGGGTTAAAACATGTAGAATTATAGGCGAATAATGGAACCAGTTCGTAACTTCGAGTCAACAAATCCAAAAAAAACAAAAATCATTAGAAAAAAGTTACGGTAAGAGAGGAAAATACAAAACAATAGTTTTCGGAAAAACCACAATATCAAAGGAATTTTTTTTCGAAGAAAACATTCTTCATGTTGTTCAAAGAAAACACCCCGGAATTTTCGTTTGGAATTTTCGATTGAAATTTGAGTCAAGTCGTCATCATTCGATAAACATTTTGGAAAAATGGAATTCGTCTTTGAAATTAAGTCGTTATCATTTGAATTCGCCAGATGAGTTTCGAATTCCTTCTGCGAAATAATTATTATACGCATAGGCATATGGCATGATAGCACACCGTTGCTGCAAGAGCATATACCACTAGCGACACCTAGTGGCACCGATAGTAAAATCCTGTGTGTTACAATGTATTTTTCAACACATTACAATCGGTGCCACCAGGATCGCCTGTGGTATATTGCTGTTGCAGCAACCTTGTGTATGATAGTTTTGGTGGTTGCAAATGTTCTACGGCATCATTGGGCAATTGGCATTTATTATGAAAGTATGATGTGTGATAAGGAAAGTGCAATCGGTATGGGTGTTACGTCAATAAGTTCAACGAGTACGCACCACGTGAATGCTTCTTCATCATTTCTTCAACGGAATAAATTCGCGTTGCTTAGATAATTCAAACGATGTCGAAAAATATTTTTTCTCATTGAAATTACTAATTCCGTCGCGATCAAAAAAATGTATCCTGTAAATTCTATTAACACGTGCCTAACTTGTTACACGAGCGTCATTTTATATCGAATGAATTGTGTGAACGTTTTATTAGATGAGTCAATAGGCATAGTTGTTATATTACGATTGGTTACATCGAGTATCACTTTTATGCAAACGTCTGTCAAAACACCCATCTGTTTGACGAATAGTGAGTCGCTATTAGCGACAAAAGAAAAGTAATCCGAAAATAATTGAAAGTGAGAAAAGAGAGGATAAGATTATTTTGATCGATCATATTGAACAGCTGTTTTGTTTTTCTTCGTTGCCATTTGGGGAATCACGAAATGATTCGCCAAAAATAGAAACGTTTCATCTTCATTTCTCCGCATTACAAATCGGCGGTATGATCAATTAATATCGAAATCAAACACTTGCTGAAATGCTTCGGCAGAATGGCCGTCGTCGATTACGAAACACAATCACAAACGTCTGCTCGATGCGCAAACAATGTGAAAATCTCAGTCATGATGCCTAATCATTCGGTGCGTTCGATTCATGAGAAATTGAAAAGATTCACGAGTAATTCGTCTGTTTTGTACTTTTGCATGTGTATGCGTGTGTGTAGCTAAAATGCAATGGTATGCACGCCATCATCAGCACTTGGCAGAGTAGACAGCAAATCGAGGAAATGCTACTTTTTTGCTTCATCAAACTTCACTATTCAATATTTTACGATTTAATGGTCGTTATACAAACCAGTGGAAATGCGTGGATGTTATAAATTAGCGGTGAGCATGTGAAATGAACGCTAGCCGTGAAATAGGTGTAATCCAAAACCGATTGTGCTATAAATCAGCTACTTTTTCAGTAAAAGTTGCATAAACAACTATCAAAATAGCCGATTGTTGTGCATTGATTGGTGCGCGCAACTTTCACGAAAACCACACACCGGTTTGGCTCTCGTATACTCTTTTTTGCATGCCAAAATCGACACAGCGTCGCTCGGTCGATTGGGTCGGTCTTAGTAAAAATAAGGCAAATGCTCGGGGGCAATAGAAACGAAATAGAAGAGATCTGTTTATGTTTTGTTGTTTGTCGATGGAAACGTTTCAGTTGCAAGACGGAAAGCCAAGCCGACAAACGAAATTAATGCAACTGATAAGACTGCATTCATTGTAACATAGAGATAGTGTTGTATAGTGGTGATACTCTCTTTCTTTCTCTCTCTCACTTCCTCGATTGATCTAATTTTATCGTCAAAGAGAGCAGTGAAATCTTTCGCTCTTTTTCTGTGTCGACTGAAAATTAACGAGCAAACGTTCGCAAATCACCACTCTAATGACGCATAAAGGAAAGAAACATATACAGCAAAACATATGGTTCTAGATATCAAAACCTGAAATTTCAAAGTTGTAAAATTAACTTTTTGTTTGGCTACGCGTAAGTCTCTCATTAGAATGTATATTGTACGGGCCAAAGTCATGGTCACATTGGACGTTTAAATTATGACAATACACCGATGTGTGTTTTTCTTTCTTCTTCGAAATTGGTCGGCCGATTGTCATGAGAGCATAGGTCATTAAAAAATAGAACCAAAGTGATTGGGATCATTCGATCGGATTGTCAAAGATCACGTCATCTTGTTGTTTTACGCGCAAAAGCATTGATTTCACACAATCCACTCCGTTCGTCTCGCGTATATATTATGCAAAACAATAACATTTAATTGCGCATACATATATTGACATCGCTATCAACATTTGCTTCTAACGTAATTTTCGCTCAGTCATTTGTTTTTATGGTTGGCCGTATGTTTATGTCAAGTACAATATTTTCGTTTGTTGTTTTCGGTGACTTTATTTACGCTGAACGATTGCTTACTATGTGTGTGTGCGCGCGAGCGTCTTTATAATAACAAAAAAATCAGAATTGCATATGACCTTTATTGTGCAATAAAAATGTCACAATCGCTGATTTGAATGTGATTTACTTTTTCATTTCTTATCGCATGAAGCCAGTCAACTCTTATCTTTTCGATTCGGCAAACTCGCACTTCACAAATGCGACACATAAATTAAGTATTGTAGTATAAATGATTTTGCTAGGAAATTCAATTAACACAAATTCATCACGCTCAAAAGTGTCATGCCTAGGAAGTCATAATACGCACAACGCGATAATGGCCCTCTAATCTTTAATTTGAAAACCTGACTGATAACTTTCATTCGACAATTTTTCGTGCTTGTCACTTCTATCATTGGCATTAAAACGCAATACTTTTGTGGTTGCATACTCGATTACTCGTTATTTCATTTTGTCCGAGTGAAATGCGCTGGGTTCGCCCTTATCAAAATGCGCAATTGTTTGCAGCTGAATAATTATGTATTAAACAGATGTTTTAAGACCGGATCGAGTTTACAATGAGTAAATTTTTGTTTTGCGACGAGAAACAACAAGTGTACATTCCACGGCCGTAGTCAGCTTTTTTGGCTCTATAGGGTGTTTCTATGCTACAAAATAATAACTTGTCCATAAAAAAGAATGATTTTGGAATAATAAGTGGGTGAGCTTTTGGAACTTTTTGAAGTTATGGGTCAAACACCTTGAAAAATCGCAAAAAAATCGCGAAAAATCGAAATTTTAAAGAGTGGTCCGATTTGAATGAAAATTGGTACACAGCACAAGTGGGAAAATAGAAGAATTTTGGCATTTAAACTGGTCCAAACTGATCCGAAAATATAGTAGTTCTTTTAAATTTCATCAAAATGGGACCACTTTTTAAAATTTCGATTTTTTGCGATTTTCCGAGGTTTTTGACCCATAATTTCAAAAAGTTCCAAAAGCTCACCCACTTTTTATTTCAAAATCTATCTTTTCTATGGACAAGTTATCATTTTGTAGCATAGAAACACCCTATAGAGCCAAAAAAAGCTGGCTACCGCCGTGGTACATTCTTTGGTGATTATTCAATTATACTGCAGTGCTCTAATCCCTGGTAGAATATTCCAACTAGGCGCGCAAATAGATGATCTAATTTTAAAAAAATGCGTCGTTCTACTTTGTATAGGTGCGATTCTCATAAATTAATTGAAAAAAGGTAATCATTTAGAAAGAATTTCGTCAACACCTTAATCAGTTTCATTTTTACGAGTTTGTTGGTTTCTTTTATCTTTCGCTTCAAACGATAAATTCGTTGTTATTGTGTATTGATGAAAGCAGGAAAGTTTCCGATCAGCATCGCATTGTCATTCATATTAAGGCATAGCCGGTTTTTTTTTCAAATTCAAAACGCAATTTGATCGTCACGAGCGGGAGAGAAAAAAAATATCTACAAATTGGCTGTCTCGGGTCAAAATGAATTGAATTTTTTCTGAGTCTGCTTAGACTTTGTTCAGTGAAAGAAACTTTCATGTTTGAATTTGAATTACTCACAAGACTACCTCTAAAAGACCTTTTTTCCATCAATTTGTTCGTTCAAATTCTATTATCGCGAGGATTAGCGAGAAAAAAACAGTTTCATATTATGCAAATTAAAACCAGCTTTAAGTCGCAGATCCAACACAACCATTTCTCTTTGGTATCTTTTGAATCTGTTTTCATGCTGAACAATTTTGACCGAAAGAAAAGAAATAAAAAACAAAATAAATGAATGAGTGCATGAACTCAAGACTTTTAAGTAAATAATCAAGCAAATGAAATCGATTGAACATGTGGTATTCTTTCAGTGCTGCCGCATTAGCGTGGATGAACCTTTCAAGGCCAACGATTGGGTGTTTATTGAGAATTACTCGTTTTCACAATAACAATGAACCCTTTACCTTGACCCCACATATCTTGCAGTATATTGATAGCTTCCACGTATCGACTCGTACTCATATAACGAACAAAACACATGTGAATATTTCTCTCTCTTGAAAAACCAGCATAGACACAGCTTTTAAGTGAATGACTAATTTAAATTCCTTAATTTATTCAGCTTGGGGACAGCAGACAAATAACTGATGTATTAGATCCAAATTATGTGTGGTTAGAAGTGTTTTTAGTTGCCTTTTCTTAAGAATTCGGGCATTTCCTCGAGTTTCTGATGAGAATCATTTCAAATACCCATGAAAAAAATCGCATGAAACATTCATCAGATTCTAAATTTGACATAGCTAAAATTAGTAAAATAGAAGACAATTGCTTTTCAGTTAGCCTCGAATCACTCGATTGTTCTTCTTTTTCAATTCACAAGCTATTTTCATTTTATTATTTTTTCAAATGTATTCCATCTAATTAGAATCTACTTTGCATCACTTTGTTCCGTTTCAGCATTTGTTTTTGTCATAATTTTCTCTTCTAATTTGGTAAACTCCTTCTGGGCAACTTCGTCGGATTTGTCGAACACTTGTTCAACGCTCACAACTTCTGGAATATAAAATTGGAGCATATTTTGTACGCCATTCTTCAGTGTGACAATCGAACTGGGACACGATGTACACGAACCCTATGTAGTAAAAAGCAATTTCGAAATTTATTATCAAGGCAATTGAATTTTACGATGCGATAAAAATATGGAATATTTTCGAGTAGAAATAGTTTCAGTTGTATTCTTCCACAATCACACAGACGATCAAAGAATAGAACCGAAAAGGAACAAAAATAGAAACAAATAGAACAAATGAATTCTTTTCAAGGAAAATGCAAATTTTTGATCTAAATATAGATAGGCTATATGCTATTTTTACCTGCATTCTCAATGAGACAATTCCATCTTTGAACGACATAAATGTAATATCGCCGCCATCCTCTTGGACTGTTGGTCTTATACGTGTGTCGAGCAGCTCTTTGATCATCATAACCGTTTCATCGTCGTCTTCGTTGATTTCTAAATAATGACACGCAATTCATTATTTATGAGTTTAAATTCTTTTTGTTTGAAAAAAAAAACTATTTGGATGAATGTTAATTTCATATCTTAATCAATCAACTTCGTCTTACGTGATTCGTTGTTTGATCTTTCATGCACAATGGGTAAGCCACTCGCAAAGAAATCCATGATAACAGCGAAAATTTCCGGTTTCAAAAGGCCCCACTCAGCATCTTCCTGTTTGGACACGGTGATGAAATCGTTGCCGAAGAACACACCTCGCACTCCTTCGATGCGGAACAATAGCTTGGCTGTGGAAAACAATGAATTTTATTATTTGGTTCGAATCGATCAAAAGGAGAACCAATTTAATTTGAATTAGTTTGAAACCAATCCAGTCAAATGAGACTTGAGCATTAAAAAAATTCAATTCTACGATTGTTGGCTTACCCAGTGGACTATTTTGAGCATTTTCCAAGCTCGGAAAATCCATTGTGCTTCCCTTTCCCAGCACTTCGACTCCGGGCATGAATTTCAAGCTGTCTGGGTTCGGTGTCTCTTGTGTTTGTATGAACATTGTTCGGTAGCATTGCACATTCACGTCGGCTGTTCTGTTTGCTAAGAGATTTCCAATGGTTTTTGACATGGTGACTCCATGGTTCCTGTTGCTGCTGTTGATTCTTTGCAATGTGCTGTAAAACAACAAGTTTTTTTAGTAAAAATTCGCAATCTCGAATAGATAAATAATCGCTGTTCTAACCTTATTTGACGTGGAATTTGACTAAGAATGCCCGCTTGCGAGCGGATTCTTACGAAATTTTTCAACATTTTCTTAACGGGCCCACGTAATTCTCTCAATAAACTATAACAAATTTAATGATCAAGACGTAGAAACATTCTATAAATCGAATTTTATTACGCGATTTATCTTCGTCGCAATGTTTTGCTCTACAATTGCAGAAATGTCAAATCGAATTTGACAGATGAACTGCCATCGTTTTCCGTTGAGTTCATATTTACCAACAACAATTTGGACCGTGTGAACAATGGAATGCTTTAAAATTGCGGTTAGGATTTTTCCTTCGTTTTACTTGAATTGTTTTTGTTCTTATCATTATTCAGAGGTCAAAATTTCATTTGGAATAAAAGGTTTTGTTCAAGAATTTATTTTTTTCAAGCCTGATTTGCTAAAGTAAAAGAAGAAATCAATAAAAGATAGGAATTTTGTTTATTTTTTTTGTCATTTTTCAATGATTTTATTCATGTTCATTTCAAATTGCATTTAAATAGAACTGTTCATCTGGTTTCGATCCATTGCGATGAGGTTAGGTTTTTGCTGTTCCCTCGGCAATGAAAGCACGCAACGAAGCCGGCACACAGAAAGACATCTGAAATTGCAATAACAACAAAAAGAAGCATTAGTTAAAATTGTCTTTGAATTTGGCATGGGCAATTGTTCGGATCGTTTCTTGCGATTCATCAAAATTGTGATATGAATGGATTGGTGTAACTCGATATTAAAAATGGGACTTCGCGATGCTCATTGAATTAGGAGCATAGCTTAGTACGGCAGTATAAAGAGTTTGGTCTTTATTCTAGCCTCAATTGATTAGAGCCTATTATTATCGAATAACGAATAGCTCTTGCCACTGATCAAGGCATAATGCACACTTCAAATTCCCAAGAAATGGAAATTTTCCAATTAAAATCGAAAATACTCCTCTTTTGCAAATGAAATGAAAGTCTTCCGAAACTAAAAATGTAAGAAAAAAAACGTGTAAATTTACCTTCAAGTGTTGCATCGTTCAATCTCTTAAGAGCGGCACACATCACTCGTGGCGATTTAGGTTAGGATTCATCAAACCAATGCATGTTTCACATCTGCATTTGCAGCGTTGAATTTCAGCTCATCCCGTCGATATTTTCGGTTGTGGCCATGCAAATTCGGTGGATAATAAGAATTTCATGGTCTTAATCTAGAATCAAAGGGGAAAAATTAAACTTCAATTCACTCGATTTCCACATCACATGAAGAACAAGAAAAAAAAAGTTGATAAAAACTCAGATGGTGGTGCATAACATGTTTAATCATAAAGAATTTCATGAAATGATATGTTATTTTTGTCATCAGTCAAAGCGATTCGATTTTCGCACAAAAAAAAACTAAATAAAATTACAATTTCAAAAAAATTACCTTATTACTGTGAGTCTTTGGCACGTTTTCGTCAAACACGTGTGTCTTCGGTTGAATGCGGCGACGAAATGAACGAGTCGATGAGTTGTGTGTGAGCTTTGCACCAACCATCATTGTCAAACGACAAAGTGTCACTGGGTGGAAAATGGAACTATTTCAAAATGCGTGCAACTTCACGCGCATCGGCTGAGCTTAGGTGCGTAATGTTTGAAATAAATATTGGCTAATATTTACCGGCAATTTTCCGTTCGACTGAGACAGATAATAAATCTCTCTGTACAAGTGGGTCTTTTTTTTACTTGTTGATTTTCATGCAACCATTGAGAGAATTGGGTGATGAAAAAAGGCTGAAGTGATCATCTTCAAAAGAATGTTTGCTTCCTTGAACAATGAAATTGAGACAATGCGCTGGGATTGTGTGTGCGGTGTTGTAAGGTATTTGTGCCTTTTGCATGTGCACCACTTTTCGAAACTAATCCCTCATTTTTGAGGTTGACATGCATTTTTGTTCATTTCTTCTTGCTTCCCTTTTTCCTATTCTCACATCGAACAATGCCAATCAGGTGCTGTTCTGAATTAGATATAATGCTTGCACTCTCTCACAGACATGCTAACAAGAAGAGATAATGCGAACAAAGTGAAACAAACGACTTCGTCTCTCTATTTTTTCATAATGAATGCATAATAATGCAGTGACCTGCGGCATTTCACAAAAAAAGTAAATAAATAAATGTGAAGCCCAAACAAAACGATTCATGAACATTGTAATGAGCAATTGATCTACTCATTTGAGAGCCGTCGAATGTGAGTGAGCGAGAGCATGACCGAGGTAGAAGTGATACACATTTCAAAGCGAATGAGCGCGCATTTCAACGAATGAACACTCATAACTAGGTGTATTCATTGTTTGTGGTTTGTCAGGCATTCGCGCGCTGTTTACACACATTTTGTATGGTGCAAAGTGTTTTGACTGCATTATATTTAAATGTATGTGAAATGCATTTGACCAGAATTTTGAATTAATAGTTTTTCCGTCTCTGTTTAACACCCCTATTGAATACCGGTGACCGGACCGTGTGAGTTCGTGTACGTGCATGTGTGAGAGTGTTATGCGTTCGCTGCACAGATGCATCGGAATGAATTGCGTATAGTAGAGGATAATAATAATTTAATGAGCTATTACATTTGAAACTAATGTGCGAGTGGAGCTTGGCCAGAGTGTGCGGATATGAGTTTCGATGCTATTGCAAATTGTCATCTATGTAGTTGGGGCGACTCGTGAGCCGAGATCAGACGAACTGGCGAGCAAGCGAGTGAGCGAGAGAGAGAAAGTGATAGAAAGAGAGAAAGGTTGCATCAGCACTAAGAGGGTGTTGATATATGAGCATCACAGCATCGGACAAGATAATGGCATTTATATTTTAAACAATGTTACGAACGATGCATGGGCATTTGAATATGTTATGACTCCGGCGCACACAGCCATATTAATTATTTTTATATGCATCAATTGTATTAATAAATTAATTGCTTTGTATATGAGTAAATAGCTGTGCGATTATCCCAGAAAAGGATTTGCACACATTAACCATCGATTTTCAAATTTACATTACAGTAGCCGCATCACAGCATATCATCACTTTACATCGGCTGAAGCAAAGCCATTTCTCGTGCGCCATCGAGCATGTATGTACATAAATATGTGCAACATTTATTAAATGCAATTCGCCCGGATTCCTGCTGTAATTATTATTATTGGCGAAAAATAATATGATTGATTCATTCTGCAGTATGAACGACGACGATGGCATCAACTGTCCATATATAAGACGGTATCTGATGGAAGTAATGACAATCAAACTTTTTTTTCCATTAGCCTCGATGAAAAAATAACGAAAAAATTTGAATAAAAACAGTGTAACTGTGACGAAAGAATAGCACAGAAACGGAACCCCCGAGAATAATACGGCCCTATGAAGCGGCAACCGCGTTTTAAATACATAGAAAGAGAGAGAGAGATGAAATGGGAGAAGAAAAAGGGCAAGCAAAGGAAAAATTCCACTTCTAATGAAAATTAATAATGATGCTAAAGCCGAAAAGGAAGCTGAACAAAATCCAAAAGTAAGAACGAATACAACAACAACAACAACAACAACAACAAAAAAAACGAAATATATTTTATACACTCGCATAGAAATATACAAAGGCAAGCGAGAGAGAGAGAGAGAGAGAACGGAAAAATGCCACCATCCATACTCGTTGTGCTTTGTGCACTGTGCTCGAATGTGTTAATTTAAAAAGAAAGCAAAACAAGGCGAAAGGAAAAGATAAAGAGAACAGTTGTTGTTGTTGTTGTTCGTACTGCTGCTGGTGTAGAGGAATACGAAAAGTGATAAAATAAAAAGATTCTGTGTATAAAGAACCCGATGCTCTGCACTCAAAACTTCCACTGTGTGTTATGTCGTAAGACGAAAGAAGAAGCACTATGATGATGACGAGCGGGAGAAAATACGTCTTAGGTAAGGAACACAAGCGAAGCATATACACTTGCACAATATGATGGTGCGTTTATGGCATGTCCTTTTTTATTCTTCCTTTTTTCTGTTCGCTCTCTCTCTCTCTCGCTCTCGCCCTGTTTCATTTTCACTCGAGTACGGTTTCTTTCTTTTTTCCTATTTTGATATTATTTATCGTTTTCGTTGCCAAACATCAAGCTAATTTCTCCATGTGTTTTCCACTCCCTTCTCATCATCGTCATTGAAAGAGCATGTTATTGTCTGCTTTGCTGCCTGTGCCGTCTCTCCTTCTCATTCGGCTCCTTTACGCCACTTTCTTATACACTCTATAGCTGCGTCAGCGCTTAAGGATCGATCCCTCATTTTTTTCTCTTTTTCTTTTCTTCCTTTCGCTTCGATACAGTTTTCTTTTAGCGTGTGTTTTTTTTCTTCTGTTATATCTTTTCTTTTGCTTCGTTTTCGGTTCTTTTCTGCGAATTAAAAACCATTTTTACATTCATTTGTAAATACTTTTTGTAGCGAGTCGTAGTATATTTGATACGGATAGAGAGCAAGCGAGCAATGAGTTTGAAAATTCTGTGTGCTATGTACTACTAATGCTAACAACGGCACGGATCGCAACATTGTCTTGTACGTGATGTACTGTGGACACACAGAAAGAGAGAGTGAGTGAGCGCGATAAAGAGAGAGAGTTCGCCATTTCGCCCATTTAAAAAAGTGACATTGTGGATGAAGAAAGGAAAAAAGGCATCCGCCAACAACAATATCACCGTACACGCAACTTCAAAGCTTCATTTCACGAAATGAATATAAAAATGGAAGGAAAAAAAAATAACAGCGTAGCGAATACTTTTCACTTTATGCGATCAAGTGATTCCTTTTTGCCATTCGGTGTGTGTATTTTTCGGAATCGGTCGGTGTGCTCCTTTTTGCACATAATTCCGGTGCTTCAATGGGAAATATTGTGTATGCTGCTGCAGCAGCAGCAGCAGTAGTAGAAGTATTGGCATTGGTATCGGCTTAGACACAGACGCCGAAGATGAGTTGAAAAATACGTACGTATAATAAAAACGACTTAGAGAGAAAGAGGAAGAGGAAGAGAGAGAGAGAGAGAGAGAGAGAGAAAGAGAAAGAAAAAGAGAGAGCACTGGAAGGAGCTGTACACATTTTTGTGTAACGCACCAAAAGCAAAAGCAAAACGTATAAGCTAATGCCATACATACATTCAATGTGTGTCTATGGTTTTCGGTTTGGTTGATTCCTTTTTTTGGATTCTTTTGGTCCGTTTTGTGTTTCTTTACCATGCCGAGCACAGCACAGCACAGTGCAGAGGATAGCACACAGCAAACAAATTCCTTGGCCATTGGTAAACGGGTTTTATGCTCGCTATTATTGTTATATACCATGGCATTCACATTTCTTCAGCCGTAATGTTGATGGGATCGCTCTGGCAAGTGGATTGGTGATTTCGCAGTCTCTTCGGTTTTTGACAGCCTGTATATATGGTGTGTGTGTGTTTTTCTCTCTTATATTTGTTTGGTCGTTTAGGAGATAGGAGCATGAGTGAATGTGTAAGCGCAAACGAGAGGGCAATATAGACAGAGAAAGAAGGTGAAATGTGCGCATTAGCCTTGGCAACTAGATCCTTAGCGATATTGTCTATGAACGAAAATGCCATCAAAAGAAGATCCATGGACCCATCACACACATACAGCATCGAACACGTTCGAACTTCGCGCTCCACGCTCTCTCTCTCTCTCTCTCTCGCTCTTTCGCTCTCTGTATTGTGTTCGATGGGCAAAAGCTGTTGAAAGTTTTTCGATGGCTAAGGATAACCGAAAACCGTTCGGAAAAGGAAAATTCACCCCCGAACGAACAAACTAACGAATCTAACTCGTATGTATGGCGGTGGTTGTTACGGTATTCGGAATGAGAAAAAGAATTGAAAGTGTGTATCATTGGCAAAGACATATGCTATATGAAATCCTTGAGCGCGTTTATGAAGTATAGAAAAGGAATAGAATAGAAGTAGCAGCGGTAGCGGCAAAGACCTGTGTGTTGTGTATGTCTCTTCGTTCGAATTGTATGGCATTGGGCAAAAACGATACATACATATATACGTATATAAACACATTGGCGCATACATTGTTATCGATTGCTAAAACTCAACAGCTTCATTTTTCGCATGTTTTTATTTCACTGTGTGTAAGTTATAACTGTAATCACTCACACGAAAAACCATTGGCTACCGTCCGTTACTCAGATACATGTCATTCCATTGTGTATCCTTGTTTATATTACTTGCTCATTGCCTGTGCCCACTGCCACTCCGCTCGGCTCATTCGTTCGCTTACTCTTTGTGTATTGTATCACTTTATATACACCGAATCGTGGGCCATTACAATATTACAGTATTACAATACAATATTACCAAAGACGGACAAAGTAAATGCCTATCAATGTGTCATATTTATTGTGTGGCCCGAATGAAGCGTGCGAGTAAGCGGGCGAGAGTCTTTGTGTGTCTATTTGTTGGCAAAGCACACGATTGACCACTGTCCATTTGCGATTAAAATTTCCCATTTCAAATATAATATAATTCAAGCGTTCAAGCTATGTGAATAGCAATAAAATCGACTCATTCGCCACATTCTAACAAATGCATGGACGTTGTAATATGGAAATTGAAGCGACCGATCCATATTGAGCCACCGTGCTCGCTCAGTGCGTGTG